GTTCCTCAATGGAGATGAGTGACGAAGCAGTTGTGGAGTCTTTTTTCGTTTGCACCTTGACGTGAGCAGAAATGATGTTGGGCTCGTTGGATGCGGAGGATTGGCCGGGATTCGGTGTTGTCTCGTTAGCAGCCGCGCGTTGTTGCTCAGTGTAGACCTCTTGAAAGAATTTGGGATCGGTTGAGCCAGTCGCGATACTGGCAGGGTCGGAGGAACGGCTTCCGCTCGGAACTTTGGGAGTTGGCGGTTTCAAAGGGCTATCTCCCAGTTCGAAGTCGTCGTCGGAATCATCCGAATCAGCGATAACCCGGGCGGGCGCCATTGTCGAGAGGTGGCGAGAAGTTCGCGAGGTAGAAGCGTCGAGACACGCGCTTAGCAAGGGGGCGAAGTGGGAAAAGTAACGCCGTGTACGGAGTACCTGCACGGTCACCGAGGTACCTACCCTGCAAGGTACCTACCTAGATAGCTGTTAGTTGACGCGTCCATGCCCTCGTATATCATTTACGCGACATCCCGTGATTTGCACGTGATGTCCCACACTTACGAAAGAAGTCGGTGCATCCCGGGTCATTTGGCCCCACTCCCTCCGTCCATTCGGAGCTGGGTCACCGGATAGTAGCCGAATTATTGGGGCTAGGTTCAGCGCCGCCTCACCTCGATCTCATCAGTTTCGCATGATCTTGTCTTGTAATCTTTGGTGGTCAAAAAACTGTCTAGGCATCATCGGACTGAGCAAACTACTCGATCTCTTCTATTCTAGGCCGCTTGGTGTTGACGGATGGAAGTGACCGATCCTGGTCTATAGTCAAGCCAGCTAGCCTGCTGATGCCTGGTTCCATGACAGAAGGCTCTGGAGGAATAATAGACGAAAATTGCCAGGCCTCCAAGCTCTCGATGACGTCCCGAGCATGTTGTTGCACCAAGCCGTCGTTATCTGTAACGGCGACGTACTTGAGGGTCCTTGTGATATCCTCCCGACTCTGGTCTGTCAGTCCAAAGCCAAGCCTCCGACCTGATTGCTTCGCAGCATCAAGAGCGCGCACAAACCCCAACACAACCATGATAGCTGCACGACGAATGATACCCTTCTCAACTTCTCGTTCCAGTGCCAAAACGTTAATGCAGAGATCCACGGCGATCGAGACCAAGTCAGGGCCAATGCCGGATATGTTTGTTTCAAGGCCGGTAGAGAAAACGGAGAGGGCTGATGCTCGCATACGGACGTCCTCGCTGCCTCTCTTGCTTTCCCAGCCCTCGACAATCTGAGTCAAGATTTCGTTCTTGGCTTGCTCTTCTTCAGTCAGATCATCGCCAAGGTCAGGGACGTCTCCTCCCCAGGCGTCCTCTGCCTGTTTCTTTTTCATTTCCTGGAGGCGTTGTTCACGAGCCTGTTTGGCTTCTGTCTTTGGCCTGTATCCTCGTCTTCCGGCAATTGACAAAAGTGTTTCGGAAATACGCTTTGCGACATCGCCAGCAAAGGTTTCGCCGAGGCGCTCAATTACCTGAACCAAAGCCTCTCCGAATCGTAAGCGGACATCTGTGGTAGACTTCTCCTTCGCATCCAAGTAATTTTCAAGAAGTTCCAACGTGGTTGCCTTGGGATGTTTGCTGGCTAGCTGTGTGAAGAGCTTCACGACTCGAAGGTTGATGAAGTCTTCACTAGCTTGGAGCAGAGACGAAAGGAGAACAAGAGTAGCCTGCACATCTAAAACAGTGCTGTCAGAGGCCACTAGGCCAGATATGAGGTGGAGGCCTTCCGAGCGGATTGGGGGAGGATTGTCTGCTTGGGTAATGTATTCCAATGCAAGTTTATACGTCCTCCTGTCCTCAATTTGCCTTTCGGTGGGCACGAAGCCATCTTCTTCCGCAGGGTCGATCGCTTCGCGATATCGAAGTAAGAGCACAAGATTCTTCGCCGTGGGGGACACTTCTGAGCGTCCCGCTTTGCTAAGTATATCCAGTGAAGTTTCAAGATTTTGTAGAATCTCAGCTTTGAGATTCGACTTTTTGAAATTCGGAGCCGTGATGACTAGATTGAGCAAGCTCAACGCCACTGCGACAATATCATCAGGCTGTTCTTGGATGGCGCTGGGGTCCAGTATTTGACAGGCAAGCTCGTAGACTTGGGTGACGCGGCTGACTAGCTTGTCCGGAATCCGCTCCAGCATCTTCTGCAGGACTGTGATCTCCAAAAGCTGCGTGATCTCGTTACCAGGCGCGCTGTCTTCGGCCCGAAGAAATACCTCCCGGTTCTTGGCCGAGGTCGTCGACTGAAGCCACCGACCAAGGAGTTCCAGAAAAAAAGAGGATATCTCCTCCGGTATGCAACTAGCTGTCATAAGTCGTATGAGCGACTCGGAGCGACTCTGAATTTCGTTCCAGTCCAATTCCGGCAGCTGCGGGGCATGTCCGAGGGGGACGGCAGATATCTGAAGGCAACCGTCGGGAATTGTCTGGTACCGCCATCGGGGCGCGGTCGTCAATTCGCCTTCGTAAAGCAGGTTCTCGATAACCAAGTGCAGTTTAGAAACGGAGACGCTCAGTTTGAGAAAGGTGTGAAGCAGGGACCTTGCAGGCTTTGAGAATCGCTCTTCAGTTTTCTGATCCCCCTTGCTCTTGCAAGATATGGCCCACAACTGGGGGAGAACGGGGTCGAGAATTCTTTTGGTCTGCGCCGGGTATGGTGTGTAGTTGATCAACGAAGACATCCGCCGAAGGGTTACAAAGAGGTCATCTGCCGGAACCAGAACAGCCTTGTCACTCAGATCCACGACGTCGATTTCCTCTGTTTTTTCGAGAGCTGCAACGCCCACATACTTCCGAGAAGGATCCAGATTGCGTAACAGAGGCTCAATGAAGACATTCCAACCCGGGGATCCTAAGTTAAGGTCAGCAAGGAGACTGATGTGAGGGTAATGGTGTTGTTACCGGGCGCGCCAAATTGTTTCCTGCCTAGCACTCCAAACATGATGATCTGTGCCGCAGCTTTACTAAGCTCTGCGCCTTCATCTCCATCCAGCAGCGTAATCAGTTGGGGTGCAATCTTAGAGAACCAATCTTCAGGCGGGATAGTCGCAGGTGGCGAAGTGATGATTCGAGTGACCACAGCCATGGCCTCCTGAGTAATATTGGCACCCTTTTTCTGGGGTGTGGCGGCCTCGGATGCTTTCAGAGTGCTGCTTGGATGCACTGAGAATATGAACTCCATGGTTCCCCGAACGCCGTCAGGCCGAAGAGGAATCAGGGTCAAGATCTTCATCAGTTCTGGCCGCAGCCATGCCGGTGCAGCATTCGGCTTGATTAATGCATTCAATACAGGGAGCAAGTTCCAGGATCCATTCCTAGATCCTTTGTCAGAATGCTCCGCTTGCCATCTGGCTGAGTCGCATCGACATACCCATCTATGAGATGCTGGAACTCATTTCGGGCAGCTCCTCTCGAGGCACCGTCGGCCGTAGGATCAAACGCCCTTTTCCCGGCGTCGAGGACTTCCTCAGCTAGCTTTGATTGCCGATCTCTGCCAGGCGTATTCGTTTCCATTACGGCGATGGTGTGATGTCGATGCCGTGAATGTGAAGGTTCTCTTTCCGTCTTAATAATTCCAAATGATGAGCGAAGGTTCGCGTCAGTGCGCCGGACATGACAGTATTAGGCATGGTGTCTGGCACGGTGTCCGGCACGTTGACAGTCATCTTAGTCTGCACGTGTCTACGCGCTATGGGGCCCACAGTTGTCCTCCACGCGTCTCAACGCGTTGCTTCCCTGCTCTTTCCAGCGTGAGCTCAACCTTCTACTTCACCTTTCGACTCCCACATACACTCAACCCATCACCCTTGCTGAAAGTCAGGTCTTGGCCTGTCCTCAATCGCAAACACAAGGCTCGATATCCCGCATTTTCCAGTGGACATTTCGAGATACGACATCGAAGCCCAGCTGTGGATGCCCCGTCGCAACCGAAGGAAAGCTCTCTCGCCCATACCGGGTCCACCACGCACGACACCTCCCGTTCAGTTCTCCGACTCTCATTTTCCGCGAGGAATGTCTATTGTAGACCTCTCAACGAAGGCTGCGATTTCGCGATACGTCGCATCCGAGCCTGTATCAGGACCTCGTGCTTGCCGCGGTTGGAGCTATCGCGATCTATGGTTGTCTATACCAGACAATGCAGTCTAGTTGAGAGAATGGGTTTCGGAACTTAACCCTAAGCAGCCCTTTGGTTCAAGTTTTGCGTCTGCAGTCGTCGACCCTGCCTTTTAAACCCGCACGAACTGCCGGGGAAGCGATCGCCGCTGAAAAGTGGTAAGCCTCGCCGGGAGTCGTGGTAGGTGGACTGGCAGGGAACACATTCCAGTCACCGTCAGGTGCGCGAGAGGGGGTTGCTATGAGTCGTTTGGGTAAGAGCCTCTGGTCTGAGGCCGCTCGTCAGGACCTATCCGCTGGAACCAGTACTCTGGCCAAGAGTAGGTCGCTGGGAGAAGACAGCCGTCGTGGCCTGCAGGATCGCACTGGTAACGTTCTGCTTTTCGGGGTTCTTTGCCGTGCCCATGTATGAGGCTCGACTCTGCGTTGCTTGGTTTGGGGACAGAGCTCAGCGTCGGTCACACACAGTCAGTATCGCTGTTTCAACCCGCAATCTGCCTCGGTCTTGCCTCGCCGGCCGCACTACCGGTGTTGCGAGGATTCCTAGGTCTACAAACAGAAACTTGTCGATCTGACCACATCGTCCACGCTCTGCTCTCGGCTCTCTCCTTTCCGATACACGACCCCGAACTGACTCGGCAGACAAGAAATGCCAGTGTTGGATCCTGCAGCCAGCCAGCTATTTTCCGAGCCACACCACGGCAACTGCTACCGGTGTGACATGCCCGCATGTGATCTGGCCAGGCGCATCAGCCTCCAGTCGTGGGTTCTGTCCCACGACATTGGGGGACGCCAAATCCTCGTTGTTCTCCCTGCGGATCAACACTTGCCCAATGGTCTTCCGGAAACGGGACCAAGGGATGAGAGCGCGGTTTTTTGTGGATGTCTTTTGTCCGCGCGGAATGCCCTCCTTTTGCGATTTGTCGCTGGAGAGGAAACAAAAACTAGTCCAAGGAGGTCGTGCGAACCAAACAGAGCGAGCTTCTTGGTTGCTTCGGACTACACAGAACTAGGCTTCGATTCGCCGAACCTCGGATGGCGAGATAGATGACGGCTGTGCTGAGTGAGCAAAGGCGACTCTGCGGGTGGCTTCGTGTCGGAGGCGGTGGTCGGCTGAACAGGTTCAAGGCGATGCTGGGACCCATCTCGTGTTGGAGTCAAAGTTTTGTGCTTGTCCGGGATCGCGGTGGACCTGAACTGCCAGTCTCCCTCAACCGCTCGAAGTTTGCGCGCTTGTTGGATCAAAAGGACAGGCCATTGGAAGGTAGTCCTGGTTGTCGTCTCTCCAGAAATGGCGAGACGGCAACCCCCTGTGGCTGGGGATAAGTCAAACCCAGATCCCGAATACCTTTTGATATAGGTGCTAACTCTTGTCTAGAACCGCGGACAACAACTTGGTAGGCGTTTCGGGGCTGAAGGACAAGACCAACACACGAATCTCCGGAGCCTGGGCAAAGTCGCACGGGGCCCAAGTGCAAGAACGGCGACGAGAGCGACTGGTCTGGATCATGGCGCGGAAGATTAACCCAAGCATTCGTAACTGTGCTCACGGATAAACCTTGAAGCAGGCGCATTGCGCAAAGGAATCAAGCCGCCCAGAGCATTCCACTTGTCAACGTCGTCCAACTGTAATTATACTCTGTGCTGTGTACCTGCGTGTACATACTATGTTCTAAGACCTAGGTTAGACAGTCATGACCAATGTTATGCCGCACTGCAATCGTCGGAGATCTGGGGGAGGCAGGGGGTAGTAGCGTAGCGGCCCAGTGACCCCACTCTAGAGCTTGATTCGCTGGCCCACCCACTATTGATCTGAAACCCACTGTCGTAGCAATCCCAGTCCCAGCTCCCCCAGCCTCTTGACGTCATTCCCGATCCCAGGAACCGGACAAACAAGGCCATTCATAAATCAGCAGCGACGGCAACAGTAAGCAAACAGAGAAACAACGTTGGCGCTTGTCGTTTCACCCACTATTTCTCCTTACTCCATCTTTCTCCTACGACGCGCGCTCCGTCCAGTGCGGTGCTTGGGTCTATGCTGGTCGAACTCGGGTCGGTGTCTCCATTGTTGTAATTCTCACGTCGCGCTGTCAACGCACGAAATCGACACCTTCATCGTCTTGCCTCCCCTCGGGTAGTCCGACTTTGCTGAGGAGACAACGATTCACCATGGCCTTGCTTCGTGCCTCCCTGTTGCCGCTGGCATTTTTGCAGCTTGTTCTCGCTGCTCCGGCCGACCCTGCTCATCCCATGATCACGCCACCACCAACCCGCGTGAAGCGAGCTCCCGATGTCACCGATGACATTGGCAATTATGTCAATAGTGTCATCAAAGGTCTTGGAAGCGATGTATCCTCCTTCGTCATATCCGGTATCCCCCAGTACTTCCAGGGGTTTCCGACAGGCACTCAAGTACTCAGTTCTCTGGGAATCAACGATGGCGACCTTGCTGCACAGCCGACTCAGGCCTTGAACATCCCGTAAGTAATCATATGCTTTCGTCAGTTGCACAACGCGCGCTTACTGACATTGACTGCGCAGAGCTTATGGTAATTGGACCGACGAGGGCTGGAACGTCCGCGTTCATGGCAATATCTATAAGCAGCCCAACATTAGTCAGTCGAAGGTTGATGACCTGGCCAATGTTTTCCTCATTGGCGTCAATATTGCAGACTTGAACGCCACCGAACAAGCCCAGGCACGAAATGTGACCAGGTCCATCTTTGTCGTTCAACAGGGCGAGCAGAACGTCACCATGAACTTTGTCAACAATGTCTCGGTGCGGCCAGGTGCGAGCGGAGGTGCCGTCAATGCGCGTGGTGGTGCCCAAACAATCAACATGCCCTACCTGACTACAGACCAGGGCGACTTTGATGCGTTTGTCAAGCTGCGCAATACCACAGGGTCGAGCGGTGGACACTTACTTCCAGGCAACGCCACGGAGTCGATTCAAACGCTCAATATCTACACGAATGGTACCAATACAGGCAATGCGACTGCGTATCTAGTGCCTCCCCAGGGCATGACGATCTTGTCCGACATTGACGACATTTTGCGTGTTACCAAGATTTACGAACCCAAGGAAGGCCTCCTTAATTCCTTCGCCCGTCCTTTCACGCCTTGGATGAACATGCCCGAGATTTACGCCAATTGGTCCGCGTCCATCCCGGACTTTCACTTCCACTACTTAACCACGACTCCCGAGCAGGTGACTCGGAATTATATGGAGTTTATCTACAAGACTTACCCTCTGGGTAGTTTCGATACACGCCCGCTCAACTTTTCCGATGTTCAGGCGACCCTGTCCATCCGTCGGTTCCTGCTCGACAAGATTTTCCAGACCTTCCCTCAGCGAAAGTTTATCTTGGTAGCCGACACCACGAACTCGGATGTGATGAAGGCGTATCCTGCAATGTACAAAGACTACCCGGGCCAAGTCCAATGCATATTTCTGCGCAACACCAGTGCCACGGACTCTGGCAACAAGTTTCCCTACAATACGGCGGGATTCAAGGATATCCCTCAGAACAGCTACATGTTCTTTAGGGTGCCGGACGACCTGACTAATCTTGACATCGCCGGCGGACAGTGCTACAATGCCACCATTCCACAAAATGTTACATTCAAGACACAGGGATTGCCATTTGGCTTGGGCAACGCGGCTGGATCTCTTTCGCCTCCCACCACGTGGGCGGCAGCCGTCGGTTTGTTTGTAATGGGTTTGGCAGCTCTGGCGTAATACCGATAAGCTTGGCAGAGAAGTACAGAATGTATTTAGCATCTGTTTCAAGAAGTTACTAATTATGAGCTTGATTTTTCACGTCCGCTTCGCTTTCCCTACGTCGTATGCGACAGGTGGCTAGTCAGTCAGTCTGATTTATGCTGGGGAATGGGCTTTGGCAATGAACATGCTGGCCTAAGGTTGAGGTGTTGCCGAAGGGCATCGTTCCTTTGTTAATGGAGATAGGCATCAGGATAATGTAGACGGGACGATAGGGGAGCAGAGAGGATCCGCAAGCCATGATGTGGCTACTATCAAATACGACCTATCACGGCATAGAGGTATGTGGATAGCTTCCTGCAGCTTGACGCCCACCCAGTCATAGGCGGCATGCATCACAGCAACACGCCCCTCTCCCTCTCCCTCCCAGCCCCCTCCTGATCCGAGACCTCTGGACCATCTGACCTCCTCGACGCACAGCCGTATGGACGCGGAAATTCAACTTGAACCTTGTTCAGAACTCGATGCGTCGTTAGTGTGCTTATCCATGCGTGGAGGACTCATTTGTGAGGCACAGCGTGTTGGAAGGTTCAGCCAGATAGAGCGACGAGGGAGGGATGGTTGGCCTGCCTCGCTTGACGTTATGTCTGCTGTCATCCCGGCCAGAGTCATGCGGTACGCGTTTTCGGCCCGAGGGAATCTGGCCGAGAGGGCGGTAAGAGGAGATGCCTCCCCGTCGGACCGATGTCTACACTGGGCGCCACCCGTTGCGACAGCGACGTTGGACTGCAGCTGTGGGTAGCCGGATTAGTTACGAGTGGTAACCAATTCAACTACCTAAACGGAAGGGTCTGGGAGCCTCCTCTACCCCAGTCTGAGGTAAGACTGGACGGACGATGACCGATATCGGCTGGGTACTGTGCATAGTGGGCGGAAGCGTGTCGAGGTTGGATGCGACAGGATGCTATAGTCTGGAGATGCCATGTGGACCAATTAGACCAGCCCGAGATTTGATATATGAGGACGTCCATTATGAGGTTCAACCAGACAGGCCTTACTAGACGGGCCGTGATCAGTAGCCTCATCGCATCGCCTTGTGTACAGGTAATTTGGCTGTTGAGTGCGAGGGTACCCAGCCCTGATGTAGAGAGTGCGAGGCGTTTCGCGGTCGGGGGAATAGGCCGCTCGGTCTGTTTGCCATTGGTGTTGGCATTGTTGATTGCGACGTTATGCATCGACCGTCACCTCGTCACAACTCATATGCGGAGTTGCACATGACGCGGATGCCTGTCAATAACCCCCGAACTCTTTGGAGTGTTCCATACATGACTGTATCTCAGTAACCCTACTGGCCCTGATCACAATGACGAGTCGCTTCTGGCGTGAAATATGTGGCAGGTGTGGGCGAGTCTACTTTTTCGGGGTTCTGGGCAGCAGATTGATGGTCTAATCATTGCTTGGAGAACCATTTGGCGGCAATGACAAAGAGCAAACAAAAGCGTTGGAAGCCTGCAAGAATGCTACTGGGATCATGGCATGTTGTTGTTGTCATTGGATGTTCAGATATCCTTTTCGAAGTGTGTCTCTTGTCTGCTTCGGAACAGGCTCCGTCTCCTCGCAAGGCACGTCATAATCGGCTTATGCCACAGAACTTCCTGTGCCGTTCTAGGAACAAACCGTCCGGATCACGGTTAACACTAGTGTTGTGCTGCTGTGCCAGTGAGGGACCCTTACCTGCGCCATCTCTCTAGAGCAGGGTTATATCGCATAATCGGAAAAGCACCTGATGCTCACCCGTCCACTGAGCACGTCTTCAAACGAGAGAAAGACTGCTATCTATCATGCCTTGAACCAAAGTGAGACACACAGGACGAAGTAGCATACACACACACCATGCTGCAAGCTCGATGCAACACGCAGGATAGTCCGGACAAAGTCGAGGGAGCATACCTAGGCACACCAACTGTTCCTGATATGCAGCACGGAAAGAAGACTCCATTCTGAGGTGTCTCGAGGCCGGTTACACACGGCTGGGGTCGGGCGCCTTCTATTTGAGGAGATCCTTGTCTTCCTTTCAATCACATACCAAACAAACATCAGCACCGCTCAAGAACACCAACATGTCATCCCGATTTGACAGCCCTCCAAGTCACTCGACATCGGACGAGGCCGCTCTCGCCAGAACGCTCGTCTGAACCCCGGCATTGCTTCTTCACATAGTAGCTTTTCATTGGAGGCCCTTTCCTGTTACACACCCGACGACTTGCGGTCGTCTCTGCTGTGCACCACACAGCAAGCATGCGGCCTGTCACAAACATTGACCTGTTAGCCACACCCATGACGTAGCCTCGCCTATCCTGTAGGGTTCTGTCCTGGATGGAATGTGGCATATGGCAGCTCTGAGGAGGAAGAGGCACGGCTGATACGAACGCCAAACCGCCAAATATGGCTTACATCCTGTGGGAAAACCACCATCCCCTAATGAGCCTCAACAATCATTACTAATCGAGACCATCCATCGCTATACCGGTACCGACTTCTCGCCCGTAGATCCCTTGCTATACCTACCCGACCTGCCTACCTATCTTCCAGCCACGAGGCACTTGTGACCTTCCTGAACCCTCGCTGCAGATCTCTGACGAGCTAATTCAAGTCAATTTTGGATTGGGGGACCGGATGGTACAAACATGTCCGAACCAACGCTATCATCTCATAGGGCAACGTCAACGCTTGGATGGCTTTTTCGCTCACTCTGGTGTGACAACCTTTGTTATTTTCGAGGGGATGAGCCTTGAGCCTTGAGTCCTTTTGTCTGCTCTTCCAGCAGTTCGAGTCCCCGCTCGCAGGTGCCCGACAGGGGGTTAGCATCTCGCCTTCTTCGATTTGGCCCGATGCAATGCAAATGTCTGTTTTGTAAGTTGACATTTTCCCTTTCTTTTCTTTTTTCTACTTCTCTGTTCGCCCATTATATCAGTCGTATGCACGTCGCCGTCATCCTTCACACCCTCCCCTTCCGGCCCCGCTGACCGCGACTACCTATGCCCATCGCCGGCGTGTTGGACGACACCCCCTCCGATGACTGGACCGGGCTGGATCGCAAGTTGGAACCTCTGCCGTTTTGTGTTGAATCGAATTTTAGGTTCAGTTATTGATCCGATTGGCTGATCTCTCATCCCACGATCCTATAATACCGGTAGAGTGGCGATGACAACCGTAGCACCACGATGCTAACCCATGCCTGCCCCTGCAAGCAGCTCCCTGGTCTGGCGGTGGCGTGTCCTTCTGTGTCGGCGTTTCTTTCGGAATATGATCAGCATCTGATATCACTCTTGCGCTGTCAGTACTCATAGAATGTGTCGTCCGCGGGAACCCAGGTTAACGATGATTCGAAGTCGAGGAACGAGTGCGACTGGGTACGCTGTTTAGTTCGCCTTCAGCAACAGCATCTCGTGTCCAGCCGCGTCGTCATTCAAACACGGCGTCGTCATTCAAACGCGGACGGCTGCATCAGTTTTCTTCTGCCTGGGAGACACGAGAATCCAAGGGAGTCTCATTCCTATTTACCGATGAACACTTATGATGCAGCCAACTGACCAAACAGCCTTCTCGTGTCAAAACTTCCCATGAAGACGCACATAGACAACAGGTACTGACCCAAAACTTGCTATTAATCATTGTATTGCGTGGCACTCTTGACTGTCACCTCAGTCTCAGCGCATTCTGGAACCTAATAGCCGTCTACGTGGTCGTCTATGTCACACTCAATCTCGGCAGCTCTGTGATCTCTCTCGGCACTGTTCCTGATAGTCTTCCGCGGTTTTATACATCCATGGCCAAGCTTTATTTGTTATCGAGGTCTTGAGCTCTATCGGTTGTACTGCGTGTCTCGTTAACATCCATTGATGAGCCCGTCGACCATGACCTTACTTACCATAACACAGTCCTCGCACCGGGCACCGTGAACGTTGACCCAGCCAGGACAGTCAACGCCATGTTTGTATCTGTTGACGCAGGGGTACCGGTCCATATTGAAAACACTCGAAGGAGGATAAGAAGTCCGGTCGGCTTTGAGAATGAGTTGGGGGGTTTGTCTGGCTAATGTCTGTTTGCAGAGAAGTTGAAACACGGTCGACGAGTTGCAATGGGCCCTCTTTATACTTACGTTACGGACTGTGGCTGCTGACCGCTGGCTACGTCTGGCTGTGCTCTGCACGCTTGAAACCGACCGGCTCAATGTCCTCGCAGCGGGATTTCCTGCGAGATTGCATGGTAGCTTCTCACAATTTGCTGATTACGGAATACTCAGAGGGCGTGATGGCTTTCCGCAATGAACCTCCAAAGCTTCCCTTCGGGCGTGGTCCAGGGATCGTATGCAGCTAGAGGCTCATTTAGGATTGGCTCTATGGGTAAAAGTGGCTTGCATTTACAGGAACGAGCAAAATGAAAACTGATAGCAAAGTTGTAATCGTCCAAATCTTAGCCGGTTATCCCGGTGGAGAGTAATTCTATCCCCATTCGGCGCCTTGCTGGCCCCTCGACCTGCCAAGTGGACACGCCAAACTTGATCTCAAGTCGGTTAGGTCAGAAGCCTGCAGTATGCGCCAATCTCTGAAGACATCTGGAAGGCCGATCCTACTTTACGGCTTGCTGCAGGATGCTGTTTTGAGCTGCCCTCAAAAGCCGTGCAACACAAGACGCGTTCGAACCCCCATGAGGCTCAAAGGAGGCGCAGCGAGAAGCATAGCGGTCTGCAGGAGCCCTGGAAAGCGGGGAGTGACGGGTGAGAAGCCGGTTCATACTATGTATTGACACCTAAGCTTTGGTCAAGTGAAGCATCGACCAAGCCAACAGTCGATACCGCTTGCCTGAGCACACTCGGTGACAAAGCATGACCAGGAGCGGATCAGGCAAGGGAATCTCACCACATCTGGAACAACCGTCAGCCAGGTGAGATCTTGCTAGGTATATGACATATTGATGAAGCGGCACGATGGGTGGAGGGGTACCGGCGGCATATGCAGTGCTTTGGTGTACATCAAGGTATCTTCTCCATGGTATTCGAAATCCTGCACGCTGTTGCAGGCTCGCTGACCTCTCAGATTCTCTCAACTAATGCAGTGTTTTCCCGAAACGGCTGGCAGCTCGAGGATCCCTCGTGTTAGAACTACGCCAGTATGGTGTCTGCAAAAAGAAATGCAGTGTCGAGATGCTCGCCAACATGCATAGTTCGGGGAGGCAAGGTAGGCAGGGGCCTCTTCCCTTCGAATCGAACTGAGCAGCAGGCATGTTCGAATCAAAGGCTGTAGGAGTGGATTGTCCGGGACCCGTCTCATCTCCTACGGCTCTTGGCGCCTCTCAACTCCAGGTTTGAGATCTTCATTACCAGCCGATATCTTCCACTAACATCCAGAAGTGCAGCCGTTCTCGAGATTGCACAGGGATCCTTGGACTGACTGTGTCGATGAGACAGACGGCCGTATTGGTCTAGCTAGGGTCGCTTCGAACTGCCATTTAAGTACCACTCAGCCGGTAGACGAAGCAACTATGCACGCTTGCTTAGGCCAGCATGTACATGCATTTCCGTCCACACTCGACGCGGGTGGGCGTGGTCTTCGGGGAGTAACGACCGGTCTCCGAGATCCTGCCAAGTCCGAGGCAGTCGGCAATGTACGTTGTGGCCCTTGTGCTCAACTGCCGAAGGAAGCCATCGAGCCTGCCAGAGCCAAGTATCCATCTACCCGTTCCCAGTACGACCATTGATTGGGCTTGGACAACAAATGGCCGGCCTCAATCTTTCAAGACATGTCGGCGTACTTGTTCAGTGTCGAGTCATCATAATGGCCTCGAAGATCCTCCTCGACTCAGCCATGATATTGAGATCTCTTCCCCTTGGGCAACAAATCGTTGAGGCCTGACCGCAGCGATGTTTAAACGCCCGCCCTGCAGCACCTCGGGCTAGTGCAGTACAGTCCAAAAGCGGACCCGTATCTACACGAGTAAAAAGACACTGCGCCGTCACCCTGGATGGATAAAATCGCGGTCCAAGTGGACGGGTTCACACCGTACCCCAGCCAGTAGTTACTCAATCAGGGGGGCAACGGACAAAGGCTGCAGACGGGTTTACCCGCAGTTGTGTATCCGTACAAGCGTTTCGTGTACTTTAGGGTGGATGCCACATCCTGGCGATCTGCTGTGGCTCTCTCCAGACCGACGGGAGTTGCTTGGTGCTCCAGCTTGGAAGAAGATTGTGAGAGCTTCTATCTTGTCCGGATTGCGCTGACTATACCGCAGCGTATACCACACCCATGGCTCTCGACTTCATTTATCTGACATCTTGACAGGTGCAACACCAAGGCCATAAAACGGTTCTATACTTGAGACCATCATTGAACTACCGGGGCAACAACACAGAGCCGTCTTGGATGGACACTCGTAACGCATGCAGAAATCGAGCAAATCGCGTTTCCTTACCATGAATAATGGGCCCATCCATGCATGGCAGCGGAAGCAGGCCGTGGGTGGTATCCCACGGCTTCCAGGGTCCATCCGCCCTGGAGCCCACCTCCCAACAAGCAAGGTCCTCACCATGTTGATCTCTAGAAAGCCCCGCGATCTATTCTTTGGGACAAAGTCCGAGACTTTTGATTGGGAGACGGGGCCTAAGAGCGAATGAAGTGAGGGAGCAGGCTAGCCTTGACTAGAGGGACTAGTCTCTGTGATCGTGGCTCGTCTACCTTGACACTCTGGAGCTAGCACTCAGGCCTTCCCTCCCTGTCTCCTGCTCAAGAAGCTCTACGGCAAGGGAGTTTGGCTTCTTGCCGGCAGGCACCAGCGACGATCCGACAAGCACTCGCATTAGGTGAGTGTCATATCAAGACCATTTGCCGGCGCACACCTCGTCGTCCATATGGGTACACGTCCCTAGGGGCTTCCAGATCCTTCGACGCATTACTATCCTACTTCTTTGCCTGCCAATCGGCACCCCGAACGAATCCCTAGTGTAACGCAGCCAAACGGACGGCCTTATAGTCCTGATTCGCCAGGGTATCTCGAGTCAGGCCTGATACTGATTGGGTCGACCGAGGAGACGTTTGCCAGTGCGCCAACCGTTCCTCTTACGACGGGCCTCAAACGACGTGCAGCGGGTCCGACGTGGCTGACTGTGGGATTCGGGGCTAATACATGTCGGCTCTGACAGAAAAGGAAGACAGATCGTCGGGGGACCATCCCGCCTGGCAGGCTAGAAGCGGCCCCTTGGAAACTCTCAAGAAGCCTGGCCCGTCTAGGCAAAGCAAGGCCAAGAAAAGCAGGGCTGTCTTTGGGGTTGTATACGCCAGTCTCGTACGTCATCGCTTGCGGGCTCAATCAAGCGAATGCACACACAGCCCCCGCCGACAGCATGCCACTCCACGATCTGGTCGGGCGCGGTTCGCCAACGTCTCGAATCTCGATGCTCGAATTCGGGTGAATCATCACCAGTCTGTTGGTGCCGTGCCGTGCCGTGCCGTGCCGTGCCGTGCTGAGCTATGCTCTGCTATACCGTCTGTCGACGACGCTTGCAGAGCTATGCGTCGTGTCCGGCGAGCATTCGAGCGGACCCTGTCGGGACTCTCTCTACAAACGTCTCAAAGGGGTGGCACAGAGAGCAAGCGTGTTGTGTGGTCTAGTCCGAGGGCGGGGATTCGCCAGGTCGTCGACTGACATGCAAGTCACCGGCGTCCTGGGATTGTCACACAGGGGACGTCCAACCAATGACCGTTGATGAGGACGTTGGCCATTCCTATTTCTCTTCTAGTCCTTCCTTCGTGCAACGGGAACATCTGTGGACGTTCGACCAAAAAAGCTACCTACGCTACCGGTACTCACGCTCATTCGACTCTTTTTTTTTTTTTTTTTTTTTTTTTTAAAGCCCAAGCTTGAATCACACGACTCTTCATCGCCATCGCCAGATCCTCCTATGACAGCCACAGTGGGGAAGGGGGGAAGGGGAGACGTCGCAACAAAGTCTTTACGTGTGTGCAACGACGACGTACGTATCCCTGTGCTATACTCGTCCATCATTCCCCCCCTCCCCTGCTCGTCGCCGATGAGCTGATGCCGTGATGGTAGATTTCCGTCCGTTCCTACGTCACTCCGCTTCATTACAGGCAATGTTTCTTCTTCTTTTCTTTTTTTTTCGGCCATAGAATGTCTAGACCGATCCTTTTCTCTGTCCGTCTTTAACCGTATTCACCAGCCCCCTCATCTTGTATGGCCGCCAGGCTCAACAAGGCCAAGATCAGCGTCTCCAGTCTGCCAGGGACTTGCCCAAAGTCCTTTGCACCCTAATATAAGGGTCCAACGCTCAACAGGGGGAGGGGCGTGGAGAGGGGTGTGCCGCTTCATAGCAACCACCGAGATCTGTGTTGTCTCCCTTGCCCCCGTGCTCTCCCCCAACCCAGACCAGAATGACATAGCCCGCCGAATGGTGAGCCAATGGTTCAGGGCGTGGCGCAGCGTAACGATTCACAAGCCAAGAAGGGGTGATGTGACATGAAAAAAGTGAACCGCCTCCCCCTTTATGTATCGGTTTCCTCTCGACATGCACAGGTAGGTATCGCACGGCTTCCTTGGCAAAAGTTTCCTATCTTTGCGATCAGGGTTGCCGCCGACGGGGCCACGTCGTACAGCTGTACATCAGCCAGGGTCGACAGGGAGGCAGGCAGGCAGGCAGGCAGGCAGGCAGACGGACAGACGGACAGAGGGACCGCCTTGTATCCGTACCTAGGTGAGTGACTGAGATGATCTTGACTCGGCTCGGGCTCTCGGCCTGACACCTACCGGCCAATGCACTCCCCATCGAGTGCGTGCTGCACAGTACCTGCACCTGCATCGAATCGCCGATACTGCTAGCGGCCGGCGCGCCGCTGATACAACCGGCCGTCTCGTCTGCATGAGCGTTTACTACGTGGTGTGTCCACACTCCCCGCGGGCCCCGCGGGGAACGTTGATAGGCACGCCGCCCGCCACCGTTCGCCAACCAAGGCGTTGCTAGATGCTGACGTATAGCAGAAGGAAGGCAGCCTTCTCCGAGGCCGGACACTACCGCTGTATTGCGACCACGCGCACGGCACGTGGGGGGCTTTGGCTCCCAGAGGAACAAGGTGGGCCGGGTTCGGAAAACCTGCGGGCTCCTCTGCTGCCGGATAGCGCCGGATATCACGACGACCGTGGGTACGGTACCACACGCCGCCGCACCGCATCCGTGGGCGTCGTCTCGCCCGCAGGAGACCATGTCATTTCAGGCATTTCTAGGAAGAGAACACCCGCATCCAGGGCCTTGTCCGAGGGCTTCGGAGGGGGAGACAGACAGACAGACAGAACCCAAGATCCACCGTGTTGGAAGACTAGGCGGTGAGGGAGAGTCCGGCCTTCCTGCCGAGAACACCCCATGTCGTTGTTGAGCCATGGCCTTATGGGGCATTCTTGGATCCGGGAGCTCAGGTCCGAACGGCGCCCGTGCTTGAGGGGATCGGGCCAGAGGCAAAATCGAAAAAAAAAAAGCAACAAAAGAAAAGAAAAAGAAACGATAAGCCTTGTCTTGGAACCGGATGCCAGGTATTGTTACACTAGCCGCGTATGCTGCATGCACGACAAGACTTACTTGGCCCGTATGCCCGGCCATCATCAAGGTGGCCTTGACAAAAAAAAAAAAAAAAAAAAAAAAAAAAAAAAAAAAAAAAACCCCAACGCGAACAATGTTGTTGATAAAATTAAAAACCGGAACCGACCGCGGTTTCCCCGCCGATAGCCCCGGGTGTGTGGTAGTATGGCCGGATGCTACGTCGAGGCTTTTTTTTTTTTTTTTTTTTTTTTTTTTTTTTTACACCCGTGTTGTCAAAAGCCCATGGGAGTCCGAGGGACTTTGCGATAGAGTAGAGAGAGAGAGAGAGAGGGGGGGCGGAACAAGACTGGTGATTCATCATAATTTGCATCTGCGGCATGCATGTGTGTCCACGTCGAACGCGCATAGTGTGGTGGTTTTAGGAAGAGAGAGAGAGAGAGGGACAAGGGTAAGACGAGGCAGAAGGGGAAGACGGGAGGGGAGGGGGAAGGGGAAAAATAAAGAAGGAAAGGGGGGGGAAAAAATGTCCCATAAATGTGCCTCCATCGATGTTTTGGCAAATATTTTATTTTTTTATTTTGTCTCTCTCTCTTCTCTCTTCTCTGTTTTGCATTTCTTGGGACGCCGTGGGAAAAAAATCTAGAGTTCTAAACCAGTCCCGTCTCTATCGAACCCGCCTGCGCCCCCCCCAATCCGTTCCCGCACTCTTCTGTTCTGATACGGGCCATTCTAGATGTTGACGTTGACCACAGAGCCTTTTTGTTCTACCCACTTGAGTTTTCCCCCTCACAAAATTGTTGACTGTGTGTGCCCTCGGTTCCAACGCAACCGGGAGTTGGCGGTCTGCCGAGGGGAAAGGAGGGTAAGGATCGAAAAAAGCCCGGGACAGCGAGGGAGAATTTCTCCTCTGTCCAATATAATGCAAAGGGCCTGGGGAGCAGCTCGAAAAGGGCCTTCTGGTCGCTAATCCACCCCCTCCCCCCTCCCCCTCGCGACGCGAGCGGCCCTCGCAAAAGCGGTATATGCAGTCGCGGTACTTCTGTATACGATCGCCTCACTCTCGTCTGAGAGAGTTCTAGCTGCCCTTCAGTTCGCCTGGGTTCCTTCTAGTTTTGAAACATGGATTTCGCCACCGCCATGGAGGGGGTTGGAGGAGATTGGTTGACTTTTCAAGGCCACATGCCCTCCCGCAGCTGCGTGATGAGACTTGCACCAGTGCCGCTCACCGGCCGTTCTTCATAGCCTCCTTGCGGCGCTTCTTCTCGGCGGCACGGGTGAGGGCCGTCTTCACGTCGCCCTTCTCAAAAGTATCGAGGTCGTAGTAGACCGGAGCAATTTCCTGTAACGTTCGCGTTAGCCGAGGAACGAGCTGACGGGGGACAAAAAAGGCAGGGTGCCCAAGGGGTTGGGTTGTGAGAGGGGCGAAATGATGAGGATGTGCAATTCATCCGCTCATGCGACCAAGCTAAATCGGCGGGAGGGTTGTGATGGCAGCGGGGACTTACCAGTAACCATTCAGGCCTGATTCCGGTGCAAGTACGGATGTACTGCTTCGAGGTCAGGACGAACTCGTTGTAAAGCACCCATTCGTAGTCCGTCTTCAGGACGGTCGAGGGGTGCATCATGACGGCCTGATCGTCCTTGATGGTGCGGTACACCTTGCCGGAGCTCTCCCTCATGGCGACCTGCATGAAGAATCCCGAGAGAAGCGCGCGGCGGATGTTTGTGTAGTAGTTCTTGTCCTCGAAGGGCGTCGATACGAGCTCGAGGCCGTGCGTCTCCATGATGCGCTTCAGCTGGGCGCGGACGTTGTCGGCGCTGCTGAGGTGGCGGAAGGAGAGGAAGTGCTCGTGGCACCACTTCTTGGGATCGACGTCGGGCTGGTTGGCCGTGCCCTTGAAGGCGTGGTAGGCGTTGAGCAGCGTGAGGTGGTCGCCCTCGGGGTGGGAGAACTGCGCCTTCATCTCGTCGGCGCGCTTGCGCTGCGCGGCCGGGCGGACCCAGATTTGCGGCACCGAGAGGAGGGCGGTGATGGAGAGGATCTCGTTGGAGCAGTAGAACTCTGGCGAGGAGATGAGCATGACGGCCAGGGCCGGGTCGAGGGGGAACTCGGACGCCAGGCTGCCGAGCGTCGTCAGCTCGCCGTCGTCGTCGAGGCAGGCCAGGTAGTTGAGCTCCTCGAGGGCACGCATCATGGTCTCGGGGGCGGGAGGGTCCATGAGGTCGAAGTGGACGAGGTCCTGCACGCCAAGCTTCTTCAGCTCGAGCACCGTGTTGGCCAGGTTGGAGCGCAGGATCTCGGGGTGCGTTTGCTCGATGAGCTCCTTCTTGAAGGCGCTCTCGGTGTAAAGGCGGAAGCACTTTCCGGGCTTCGTTCGACCGGCACGACCGGCACGCTGCTGGGCCGAGGCCTTTGAGATGGGCGAGACCAGGAGCGACTCGACACGGATACGAGGGTTGTAGATCTTCTGCTTGCTGAAGCCCGGGTCGACGACGTAGACGATACCGTCGATTGTCAGCGACGTCTCGGCAATGTTGGTCGACACGATGACCTTGCGACCCGGCCGGCCGCCCTTCTTGTATGGGGCCGGGGGCTTGTCGAAAATCTTTTGCTGCTGGTGCGGCGGCAGTGTGCCGTAAAGGGGGTAGACCGCCAGGGGCCCGGCGTCGATTTCTCTCGTCATCTCGTCGGCCTCGAGATTGATCTTCCGACACGCGTCCTCGATTTCCTCCTCACCCGTCAGGAAGAGCAGGATGTCTCCCTCGCCCTCGGAAGCGTGAATCTGCAGCACCGTCCTGATGGCCGCCTCGACGTAGTCGCGCTCGGGCTCGGGGGTGTAGAAGATCTCGACGGGGAAGGTACGGCCGGGGACGGCGAGGAGAGGGGCGTCGTTGAAGTAGCGCTGGAACTTTTGGGCATCGAGGGTGGCGGACATGACGATGATCTTGAGGTCGGGACGGCGGGCAGCAATCTGCTTGAGCAAGGCCATGAGGATGTCGGTGGCGAGGGTACGTTCGTGGGCCTCGTCGAGGATGATACAGCTGTAACGGGACATTTCGTGGTCGTGGATGGCTTCTCGGAGAAGCATACCGTCCGTCATGTACTTCAGGATCGTTTTGGGGCTTGTCCTGTCCTCGAAACGAATGCTGTATCCGACCTCCTCGCCGAGCTCGACATCCATCTCGTCGGAAACACGCTGGGCGACGGACATGGCGGCGACACGGCGAGGCTGGGTGCAGGCGATCATTTTGCGGTTGAGCTGGGGAAGCTCATCGTAGACGACATATTGGGGAATCTGTGTCGTCTTTCCGGAACCCGTCTCACCGACGAAGACGAGGATCTGGGTGGAGTGGTACTTGTCGAGGAACTCTTGTCTATGACGGGGGCGTTAGCAAGCTGGAGAAGTCGGGGAGGGGGGGGATTGGATCACGAGCGTACCTTTGTTTGTTGACGGGCAGATCCCGGCGCGTCTGCAGGATCTGGAAGTACTTTTGCGAATGGGGACGGCCGGTGAAGGCGTTGGTATCGAGATCCTCGACCTTCTCAGCCTGCTTGGCGGTGGTGGCGCGCGGCTTGAAACCAGCGAAGGCCGAGCTGGAGTCCACGCCGCTGTCCTCCATATGCGCCAGGTAAGGGTTGTACTTGGGTTCCTCAGAGTCGGATTCCTCCTTCTTGGCCTTCTTCCTCGAGCTGCCCTCTCTGTCGGCGCTGGAGCGCTTGAAGCCTTTGGGATCGGTATCGGCCATTGTAGCGTTATCTTTCGTCACAGGAGGGTAGGGCGGTGAGCAGATAAGACTGGGAGAGTCTGGCTGAAGTTGCGGCCCGGGGAATTGGACAGCGACGGCAACAAAGTCGGAGAGGCGATTACAAGTGGACGAGGCTACCGCCTGGAAACTTTTTTGGTGTCGCGGGAAAATTTGGGCGGGTTCTCGCACGGACCAATAGCATGGTGTGATGATAAGATAAGGGCGGCATGAGTACGTACCTAGGTTGACCACCCACCTAGGTGCGGATGTATTAGGTATGGTGGTAGAGGTACCGTTTGAGACACGATCAATAACACTGTTAAGGGACTTTTTGACGTCTTGGAGACTGACACTGCATATGCTAGAAATTCAATCACTACTCGCCAAGCCATCGTGAGACTGGAGTTGTGTGTGTTGGGGAGTACATCTACCATGTCCAGAGTGCAACACAGCTTGATCAAGGTACTGTAAGAAAAGAAAATACTCCTCTCTAAAGTAACCAAATCGATGGTAGTAGTAGGTAAGTAGGTGGCTCTGCGTGACAGCAGACACACTCACTGTCTCTCGCCTTATGCTCCAGGGTCCCGTCCCGGGTCACCGAGTCCACTGCATGAAAACGCAACCAACCAATGACACCGAGTCGCAACTCGCAAAATTTGGTGCATTTTTGCTTTGCCTTTTGGGGTGGGAACCAACCGGCCTGACTTGTCAGATCACACAAACATCGGGTTGACAGTGACCCCGAACACACCCTTTTCGTCTCTATTTCTGAAATTTCTAGACTTGACGAGCAGCCCGTCAAGCATGAAGTGCTGATCACGTCGCTCTTTCTTTCTTTCTCTCTTCTCTGTTTCTTCCTTGCCGAAGCACCAGGTTTCAACCCGACAGGTGCTGCTTTTTGCATAGCCCCCCCTCCCAGTTGTGTGTAATTTGTGCGCCAAGCATTTACACCACTATCTCGAAGCTGCACAACCAACGTGCCCGAGTCAACCATGGACGGCGCCAATATCAACCAGATCAGGCCTGTTTTCAGCCTCGGTCAGCATGATTCCAACAGAGATCAGCCCCTCGATGACCTCCAGTACGGCCAAATCCTGAACACTGGTGTAAGTGACCCTTGACCCTGAATTTTCCCTCTCTCTCACACACACACACACTCACTCACTCACTCACTCACAACCCCCACTTCAGGTCAGCTTCGTGACAGCACCCATTACCAATAAGCACTTCCATGCTCGTGTCAAGGACCTCGTCTCTGAACACCTCGCAAAGGCAAAGGAAAACACCGTTTCTTTGGCAGATGCCGTTGTTCCTCCTTTGACCCCCAAGGACACCTCTCTGTTCCCCAGCCACGCAGTCACCACTTACATCGCCTACGCCAGCCCCTGGATCGATTTGGCCTCGACCGACCCTGTCGTCGCCAGCGTCTCGAGGCAGGTCCTCAACCTCGAAATTGCCTATGCCAATTTCTGCGGCGTGCGAAGCATCGTCATTCCTGGCCCCAGGAGAGACGCATCCAAGAATGGAGGAAATCTGGGCATCGCCCAGTACGGTCGAGCTGTCCAGGAGGCCATGACCATTGCCTCGCGCCTCAACTTCATCATCCACATTCCCATGTACCGCGAGCCTGGTCTGGAGGAGACGGCCGAGCTGCTCTCCGCCCTTTCTGACGTGCCTCACCCTGAGGAGAGCAAGGAGATTGACATCTACAGCACCTGGGACTCTTGGCATTCCGTCCGCACCATGTGTGAATACAGCATGCGTCTCTACGTCGGTAAGATATGACCTTTGTGTTATGCACGATATGCGGCTGCTAATGCCGACAGCCATCCGTATTCCTAGAGCCTTGCCCGAGAAGGCCCTCCAGGACAGGTGGTTTGCCGAGCCCCTGCACTTCCTGTCTCTTGGCGGAAACGCCTTCCAGAAGAACAAGACCGGCCACCCTGCCCTGCCCAGAGCCCACCAGGACATGATCTTCAACTACATGCGCCTGAAGAACTCCCCCTGGCTTCTGCTCAGCGACGTCGGCCCGGACCCTGCCTCCTTGACCGCCGAAGCCCAGCTCCAGGCCGTCAGCTTAACGAACCAGGCTCTCCCTACTGCCGCCGACTTCCCCGCTCTAGGCGACTCGTCGGCCCAGCTGACGACAAACTCGCTCAAGTCTTTCCGCGCTTATGTCGCCTACCTCAAGTGGCTCGAGACGCAGCAGCGACCGCTGTCATACCTGGAACAGACGACGCTCACGAGCTTCCAAGACTGGCTTCAGTCGCCCCTGCAGCCCTTGTCCGACAACCTCGAGTCGGCCACGTATGAGGTCTTTGAGGGAGACCCGGTCAAGTACAACCAGTACGAGGCCGCCTGCACCGAGGCGCTGGCCGAGTGGCACCAGCTGGGCCGAGCCACCTCTTCGCAGAACGGCGCCGTTGTCATTGCCGTTGTCGGCTCTGGCCGTGGACCACTCGTGACGAGGGCCCTCAAGGCCAGCGAGGCAACGGGCGTACCCGTCCAGGTCTGGGCCGTGGAGAAGAACCCCAACGCTTACGTCTACCTCCTGAGACAGAACGAAATGATCTGGGGCGGCAAGGTCACGGTTGTCAAGACGGACATGCGTTCGTGGAAGGGCCCTCTCATCTCCGGCACGCCCGACAACAACCCCGTCTACGGCAAGGTCGACATCCTGGTGTCGGAGCTCCTCGGCTCCTTTGCCGACAACGAGCTCTCGCCCGAGTGCCTGGACGGCGTCCAGCACGTCCTGGCCCCCGGCGGAATCTCGATCCCAGAGTCGTACACGGCGCACCTGAGCCCCATTGCGACGCCGCGCATCCACGCCGACCTCCTCACCAGGGTGCCGACGGAGCCCAACGCCTTCGACACCCCCTGGGTCGTGCGTCTCTTCGCCCTCGACTTCGCCGCCGTCCGCGTGCCCGATCACCCCCGCTTCCAGCAGACGTGGGAGTTCTCCCACCCCGTGCCCGAGGCTACGCTGAAGCAGATCGAGACGAGGCGCGCCGGCGGCGTCATGGGCGGCGGAGGCGGAAGCATGGCCGGTGCCGTCGGCGCCAACGACCACAACTCGCGCTTCGCCCATCTCACGTTCGTCTGCCGCACGAGGGGTGTCATCCACGGCTTGGCCGGCTACTTCGAGTCGGTCCTCTACGCGCCACAGACCGGCAACAAGGACAAGGTGGAGATTAGCACGCACCCCGAGTTGATCGACCGCAAGAGCAAGGACATGATTTCGTGGTTCCCCATCTTTTTCCCCATCAAGGTGAGCGCCGTCCCGATGATTCCTGCCCGAAAGTGTTTTTTTCTTCTTCTTCTTTTCTTTTCCCCTTTTCTTCTTTTTGATCGAGTCACTAACATTCACAGCAACCCATCTACTACCCCGCCGACACGGAGCTGGAGGTCACGATGTGGCGACAGACGGACGATTCGCGGGTGTGGTACGAGTGGCTTATCGAAGCGTACACATGGGTTAGCGAGACACAGCGCATCAAGGTGGCGTCATCGGATCTCTGCAGTAGTCGCAAGGTTGCTTGTCTTATGTAAGTATCTGCGAAGCTGGTAGGTAAACTGGAGGAAACGGCACTGAAGGCGCCCGAGATGTCGCGACCTTCCTTTTTTTTTTCTTCTTCTCTATAGTGTGCTGCGGAGGGAGACATATGATTTTCCTTTACGCTGCAGCGCGACCTGGGGTGGGCGGGTTTTCAACCTGGAAATGGAACTGCGAATCCATTGTCGACGGCTTTTTTCTTTCTTATTGGTGGTCCTGTTCGAACTTGATGTCTGTCGTCGTCGTCCATGCTCCAAGCCTTTCCTGTGAAAATCGCATCCTCCTCTCCCCTCTTTCTTGACCACTACACCATAGTACGAAGGGGGGGTGTTGGTGGTGGCCGAGGCTGTGTTGATGCTTCCGCTCGTTCAATCGTCCTGCTCAACCGTCCATCCTCACGTCGCCGTTCTCGCCTTGTTTCGCGCCGCGGATCCAGAGGACGTTGTTACACCTGTTGGCGCGTCAGCCGGTTGTCCCTAAAAGGGGGACTGCGAGAAGGGCCATGTTTGCGTACCGGATCAGAACTTGGCCGAGAGCTCCCGTCATCTTCTGGTCAATGTACTCCTCGGCGCCGCTGAGCTGGACGTTCATGTAGCTGTCGATGCTGACCAACTTGCCCTTGTACTCGGTCTCGCCCCACTTGAGTCTGATAACGACATCCTGGTTGACACTGCAGAGAGAGGAAGAGATGTTAGCGGATTGCTCATTGTCGTTCGCGATAGGGGGGGCTGGGATGCGCGGTGCGAGGTCCCGTTCCCGCCGGGAGAGGACGTACAGGTCTTGCAGCATAGGCCGCGGGTTAATGGGCACGAACTGCGCGAAAGAATCTGGTCAGCTTCCATCACGATGGTTAAGAGAGGGGAGCGACGGAGTGGGTGGGTGGGTGGTGACATACGCTCATGGTGGGCGATTCGAGGGTGAGAAACAGCCCATGTAATGTGTGGATGGTGGAAAGATGGGTTTGCGCGGTCGAGGCTGCGATCGCGAGGCTCCTCCTTTGGGGGGTGGGTGGTGTCTGGTCCGGGAAAGACTGACAATTTTTAGGCCTGCACAGTGCACTGGGGGGTTGCTTACAGTGTGTGGGTGTGGTGAGGCTGTCGGAAAATCATCGGGTTCCCACTGTAAGGTACCGCCGGGCGATGCAACCCAACAATCTGGGGTCGCCGGCCCAAGTGCGGTTGTTCCCTTCGTCCTGCATCATCGTCGTCTCGTCTCTTCGCCCCGAATAGCCTTCTTGAGGCTATCGCGACGAGTCGAAAGATGCTAGCCGGGAAGCTGCCTTTTGCGAGCGGAACCTTTGGACGGTCATGTTGCACCCAGCCGTGCTCGACGCGCACTCGCTACGTTACTAAACGGCACTGCAGACATGGTGACTCAAATCTGGAGGTCACGAGCAATTTAAGAAAAAGAAAAAAAGTCGCCGACGCCCTCAAGATTCCGAGCCCTTGAGTCCATGGGCCAAGGCTCACAGTTTCAGCCCGTGTGTGGTGGCTAGCATAGCATCCACGCAGGCGTCAATTGTCCAATTGGCAGCGGCAACGGGCGCCATGGTTACATGGGCCCGGTGGCCATGCCGTTCCTGAAAGTCCCGCGATGAGTCCTTACTCTCGAAAACGGCTCGGGAACAACACCACAACATGCTTCCACGCTGCCCTTTGCAGCTTGTGGCTTACACGGCGTCTTTAAGTGTTCGCGTCTCAGTGCCCCTAGGTCTTGGAATGGGATAAAAGGTCATGGAGCTCCCCGGCCGCCGGTGCGTCCTCATTGAAGCTGCCCTTCCCAACCCTTGGCGAGGTCAAGAATAACCTTGACATTTCGAAAACTCGTACTTTACATCTTGCAGGCAATTTATAGCACAGCAGTCTCAGACATGGGCTTATTCGATTTCAAATTGACTTACCAGTGGCTCTACTGGACCGCACCCACTGGTGAACCGCCTGCTGCTCCCAAGGGCCTCACAAGATACTGGGTAGAGACGCCATCAGGCAGAATCGAAGTTCTTTCGAACCAGGGTGCCAACCCGATTACGTCAAAAACGCCCATCGTCTTCATTCATGGCGGCATGGGCAGCGCATGGGTGTGGTCCGAGTATATGCAGTATTTTGCCAGGCATGACATCCCGTGCTATGCTGTCTCCCTGAGAGGGCATGGTAACAGCTGGCACCCCTCATACCTCCGGATGGTGTACTTGACCACCAGAAGAAACCTGGCCGATGATGCCGTTGCAGCCATAAAATGGGTTCAGGGGCGCCAAGGAAGCGAAGTCATGCTCGTGGGACACTCGAGCGGCGGCGGTTTGAGCCAGGGCATCCTCTCGGCAAGGCAAGTCCACGTAAAGGGCCTTGCGCTGCTGGGAGCTGTACCGGCCTTCGGATCGTGAGCAATACACGAGGAATTTCATACTATTGCCGCAACTGACGAGTCACAGTTATGGAGTATACGCCAACTGGGCAATGTTTGACCCGTGGTTTGCCGTCCGCATGCTGTTCCACGGCTGGCACCCCAACTCACCCCTTTCCCACCCCTTCTTGGTCAAGCAAGCCTTCTTTGGCGACCAGATGCCAGAATCCGCCGTCCTCGAGTTCCAGAAGCACGTGAACCGCTACGAGTCCTTCCTCTGGCCCATCAGTATGATGAGGCCCTTCAGCTCGGCTGCCAACATCATCGGCTCTATTGCTAGCTGGGGCAGCGGCGAGCGCATCTTGGTGTTGGCCGGCACTCAAGACAAGATGATGACACGCGATGTCATGTCGAACCTTGCCGCGCTCTACAGAAAGGAATTTGCTGACCTTGTGGGTGGTAAGAAGCTGGACGCAAAGGCTGAAGCAGTCAAGCCTCTCGATGGCGAGGGCGACGACGACGATGAGGGCAGCGGGGTCAGGCTTGCCTGGGTACCAGGCGCCGGACATCATTTGCAGAACGACGTGATGTGGGAGATAGGTGCGAAGAAACTGCTTGGATTCTACGAGCAGCTGTAAATATCATAATTAGCGGATCAGCTCAACTCAATGATTTCTGTCATGGAAACAACTAGTGGTCAGGTTGAGTGAGTGCGCGAGGTGGGTCCATGAATACACCTCAAATCCTCAAATTTTCATAAACGTGAATCAAAAGACCACTTCAACGCAATTTAATCTGGTTTTATGTTCGATTCTTCAAGGAAGTTATCGACACCGTTTGGTGGCTGAGGCATGGCAGTCAGGTGTCATCTTATACTCATTGAGCGGCCCTGTTAGGAAAATTTCGCGGTCGCAGCCCGAATCGCACTCAACCTCCGCCACACAACAACAGAACCCCGTCAGTCACCCCCAGCCATCAAAATGGCCACGCAGACGTTCGAGACCAACGGTGTCCGAATTGCCGTCGAGGGCTGCGTAAGTTCAGTCACGTTCGTTACAAATGCATCCTCGGGTTCATCTACTAACAGTGCGCCAGGGCCACGGTACACTCAATGCAATCTACGCCGCCGTCGCGGCCTCTTGCGAGGCCCGCGGCTGGGACGGCGTCGATCTCCTCATCATCGGCGGCGACTTCCAGGCCGCCCGCAACGCCGCCGACCTCACCGTCATGTCCGTCCCCGCAAAGTATCGCGAGCTGGGCGACTTCTGGGAGTACTATGCCGGACGCCGCACGGCGCCCTACCTGACCGTCTTCGCGGGCGGGAACCACGAGGCGGCGAGCCACATGTGGGAGCTCTTTTACGGCGGCTGGGCCGCGCCCAACATCTACTACCTGGGCGCCGCCAACGTGCTGCGCCTGGGCCCGCTGCGGATCGCCGCCATGAGCGGCATCTGGAAGGGCTTCGACTACCGCAAGGCGCACCACGAGCGGCTGCCGATGGGGCCGGACGAGATCAAGAGCTTCTACCACGTCAGAGAGGTGGACGTGAGGAAGCTGCTCTTGGTGAGGGAGCAGGTCGACGTGGGAATCAGCCACGACTGGCCCAGGGCGATTGAGAGGTGGGGCGACGAGAAGGCGCTGTGGAGGATGAAGCCCGACTTCGAGAGGGAGTCAAAGGACGGCACGCTGGGCAACGTCGCGGCGGAATATGTGTGCGACCGTCTGAGGCCACCCTACTGGTTTTCCGCACATCTGCACTGCAAGTTTGCCGCGTTAAAAATTTACAAGGACAAGGAACCGAATGAGACCGAGACCGCTCCGGCTGCAGCCGAGGAGGCGACACCCGCCCCGGCACACGGGTCGGTGGTAGCGCCCGATAACCCGGACGAAATCGATCTCGACGGTGATGAGGAGATCACAGATGCTTCCGCTCCGGCACAGGCAAACCCGAACGAGATCAGCCTCGACGGTGACGACGACGAGCAGCCCGGCAGCACCCCTAAGGAGACGACGAGCAAGGAAAAGTCTACGGCCAAAACCTCTGTCCCCGACGAGCTCCGAGCCCAACTTCCCGCCTCTTTTATGCGTCCCCCGCCGCAGCCCAAGAGAACACCGGGCCAGCCTGTTCCTCCGACAATCACGAACAAACAGGTCAACTTCCTCGCCCTCGACAAGTGCCTGCCCAGACGCCACTTCCTCCAGCTCCTCGAGGCGCGACCGCACAACGTGCCGCCCGCGGACCGGCCCCCGCCGACGCGCCCGTTCCGCCTGCAGTACGACCCGGAGTGGCTCGCCATCACGCGCGTCTTCCACGCGTCGCTCTCGATCGGCGACCCGTCAGCGCAGCCGAGCCCGGACCTGGGCGAGGAGCACTACGCGCCGCTCATCGACGCGGAGCGCCGGTGGGTCGAGGAGAACGTCGTCGCCAAGGACGGCGGGCTGGACGTGCCGCTCAACTTTGCCGTGACGGCGCCGCCGCACGCCGAGGGCGAGCCCGAGTCGGTGGCGCACCAGCCGTTCGAGTACACGAACCCGCAGACGTCGGCGTTCTGCGAGCTGCTGGGGCTGAGGAACCTGTGGGACGCCAGCGACGAGGAGAGGATGGAGAGGAGGGCGAGGGGGCCGCCTGCCGGCGAGTTCAGGGGACACCGCGGCGGCGGCGGTAGGGGGTTCCATCGGGGGGAGGACGAGGTGGTCGGGGACGGGGCAGAGGAGGGGGCAGAGGCCGGGGCAGAGGCTGGCACTGATTGCATTACGACCATGTGAGTTGCGGCTGATGGACTATGGGGCACAATTAGAGATTACTACTGAGCCCGTGTCCAAATCGGTATCAGGTATTGAGCACAGGTACTAGATTATGGGTGTCCGGGGTCATCGTTCACGTTCAGGGCTGGAGCGTTAAGAGACGGCGGAAAAGAGGTTTGTATTAATACCCAGCTATACTAACTAGCGTGCAAGCATGTATCCCAACAGAAAAAGCGTAGATCTCAATGGTAGAAAGTTGAGTCAAGCAGAGTGAGTGGAATAGAGTCAATCTTCCATCTTTAATAGACGTTCAACCCACGGAAGAGTGAGAGAGGAACGCATATGCTAAGATGGGGAGGGTATATAGTATGTGGCTGGTTTTTTTTTCTTCACGTGTGGGGTGGCAACGTGGGTCGCCGTCAAAGGGGACGCAAAAAAAAAAAAAAAATGTAAAGCGGAAAACTGAGCAAGAATCATGCCTGCTGTGCAATGGCATTTCGTCATGGTGTCATAATAGCAAAAGGCATCTGTGTCCCGTTGGCCAACCCTGATGCTCAAAACGCCTGAACTCCCCATCATAAAAAAGGATAGAGCCCGAAAAGGGTTCATGTGCTCATGGTCATCAGACGGTGCCGGTGTTTTGCTCTGGAAGGGGTGGGAAAAAACGCGTCAGAAATGCTGTCCCCGTGTGACAGACCCCTCCTCGTCACTCCGGGGAGTGAATAGGAAGGCTGGGAGGTTGTCTTACTGTCCAGGCCCAGGTAGTCGGCTGCGACCAGTAGTTCCAGGCACAGCTCGACCGGAATGTCCATGTCGGGGACATCCTCTCGCTCGCGGTAGCGGTACCAGTATTGGAAATACTCGCATACTTTTTCGAGCACGACGCCACTACCGAGGACGAACGGTCAGATGCTTCCAGAACTCTTGGAACAAGGAGGGGTCGGCAGAAGAAAAGGAAGAAAGAAAATGTAAGATGACGAATAAGAAATGTTGCTTGTTTCAGATCAAGTGTAGTTTGGCAATCAAGCAGACCAGCCGTTGCAGCGGCGGTCTGTCAGTAAGAACACAGCGAAATAATTGTAGTTCATCATAGCAACAAGCCAGCGGATGGGGGGCGTGTGATTGTGTTGATGAGAAAAGGAGGGATGAGAGACGCCGAGCTTACCTGATCTCCTCAAAGACGCAGCGGCCCAAGGCAGCCTCGCGGAAGTTGTTCCTGGTGTCGAGCATGCCCTTGATGGCCGGGCTGATCATGGCGGCCTCGCGCAAGACGACGAACTCGTAGCCGTCACTCGAGACCAGAGTCACGTACTTGCTCTCGGTCGCGCCGTTGGCATCCATGGTGGCGGCTGAAGCAGGTGAAGCAGCTGAAAGCCAGTGAAATCCTGGTTGCGGGATGCGTAACTTTGCGCGTCAATGACGGAGCCCCCCTTTTTGTTCTTGCTTGCTTGCTCGCTCGCTCGTAGGAGGGGGATGAAAGCGTTCCTTCTTGTTGAAGGTCGTGGACGCGTTCGTTTAATGAAGAAATCGCCGAAGAACGAAAAATTCAAGTCGCGTTTTTGAGGGAGGCGGTGGTGGGGTTTGGAGCTCGGGCCATATATCAATTATCCCGCCCGGCGGCCGGAACCAAGGCTGGCCTGCCGGAAAAACTGATTACCTACGTACACATTATGTAGGTAGGTAGGCAGGTACGTACTTCGTAGCTTCCTGTTTTCGGACTGCAGGGGGGGGCGGGTCGTCAGGTTTTTGGCCCTGGTCCAGGCCAACCGCCAGGGATGTCAGTTGATAGGCAGTTCATCCGCGTTGGCGCGCCCCGATTTTGTACGATAGTACGTGTATTATCGCTGTGGCGCCCCTTGGCGCCTGCCGTCATCACCCCGGCAAGAAGTGGCTGGTTGCCCCGTCGACTTGTTTACACTTGCCCTCCTTGCTCCCCGTCCCTTCTCCTCAAGAACACAACCCGCCCATCCACCTCACCACACAAACCCACCCCCATACAATACAATACAATATACAGTCCCAAAGCAAGCCCTTCTTCAACATTCCTCTATCCAAGCCACCCGCATCGCATGCCTCACCCGAACCATATCTCAACGGCATCACACTCAAAAACACCATCAGAGAGCAGCAACAGCACCTAGCTACCGACAGTACGAAATCTGGTCTAGGAGAGAGGTGCCCAACGTCAGCAGCTATACGAGCATCTCTCGTCGCAAACCAAGATACGCTAGCATCTAGACAAACGGGGAATAACATCGCATAAAAAGCACAAACCACTCAGGTCTCCCCAACAACCCCTCCCCCCTCCCCCTTCCCCCATACGAGCGAACGCACCGACCCACGGTAATTACACACCAACTCATACTCATCTCGCAAACACGCACGAGGCGGGACGCGCAGCGAAACGACCTCGCCGTCACCACGCACCAACACAACACACACCACTTAGAGTCTGCCGCATTATGGCGTCCTCATACCAGTATCGCAACTCATACCACAGCTCCTCCCAAAACATCAGCGAAAAGTACGACGACGGCCTGGGACGCCCGGCCACATCCCGCCGCAACACCCGCCTTAGGAGCAGCGACGGCACCGTCAGCACCACCATGAGCTCCTCCACAGGCCGCGAGAGCGCCGCCACTCACATCACCGAAGGCCCTGCCTACTCCAAGAAGATTGTCGTTGTCGGCGACGGTGGTTGCGGCAAGACGTGTCTTCTCATCAGCTACAGCCAAGGCTATTTCCCAGAGGTGAGCTCCTTCCTCCTCCGCCCGCTCAGACTCACCAGACAGCGGCGGCGGCGGTGGCAGCTGGTGCTGCGTGAGCGTCGTCTGCGAGTCCTCGAGATGAACCAAAACAATCCTTGCTGACTCTGATCGACAACAGAAATATGTCCCTACCGTATTCGAAAACTACATCACGTACCCGACGCACCCGCCGTCTGGTAAGACCGTAGAGTTGGCGCTGTGGGATACGGCCGGCCAGGAGGAGTACGACCGATTGCGACCGCTTTCGTACCCCGAGACCGACCTAATTTTTGTTTGTTTTGCGATTGATTGCCCCAACTCGCTAGAAAACGTCATGGACAAGGTAACTTCAATCACCGCTCCCCCGATAACAAGGAGGGGGTCATTTTTGCTGCTAATGCTGACTTCCCTTCGTCACCAGTGGTATCCCGAAGTCCTACACTTCTGCCCTTACACCCCTCTCGTTCTCGTTGGCCTCAAGTCCGACCTCCGCTTCAAGAAGACATGCATTGACATGCTCAAGACACAAGGGCTCACACCCGTCACTCAGGAGCAGGGTCGGGCTGTCGCGCGAAAGATGGGCGCCCAGTACGTGGAGTGCAGCAGCAAGGAGATGACGGGCGTCGACGAGATCTTTGAACAAGCCATCCTGACTGTCGTGGCTAACGACCGGAAAAACCTCGAGGCTCAAGCCACCGTCCCTTCATCATCCGGCGGCCCACCAGGAAGCAGCGCAGGCTTCCATGGCATCGCTCTTAAGAAGAAGAAGAAGAGGAATTGCAAGATCCTTTAAGGTCCTCGCTGAGGATTTCGGGGTTGTAACGACCAGGCATTGGACACAGGCGGGGGGCGTAATGAATGACTTTTGTTTTATCTGCATGATCTCGTCACGACCTGCTACTATTACGATCTGGAGAAAGCATGCGCCAACATTAGCGAGCGGCGTCTCCTGTTCTAGGGGCTGGATGAACTCTAGACCGGGGGACGTGGAAACTGTTGTTTTTCTTCTTCTCTCCGACGGAGGAGAAGGATCGGTATATAGGGGGTGGGGAACAAAGGAGGAGTGGGAGGGAAAGTGCGTGGTATTCTCATTGGAGTCTCGAGGCTCATCCATACCCTTTTCCTTTTGGAACAAAACAAACACAAACACACAGACACACCACCACACACACACCACACACACAAATGGAGCGGGAAACAGGGGGGGGCCGAAGGCTTTGACCAGTTTCTCTATTCCTCGGGTAACTTCCAGGTCTCCCTGGTGATTTTTCTTATTTTTCCATTTTTTCGTTCTTCTTTTTCTTTTTCTTCTTCTTATTCTTCTTCTCCCTCTCCTGTAGCAGCATTGGGTATTCCGTCTTGATAGGCATTCCCAAGGAGGCAGGAAACATGAAATGTTAAAAGCATCAAAACCAAATGTCCCAAAATTCCCGCAGTTGGCAAGTGAAATCGAGCAATAGTGATTCGTAGACCGTCGCCGGCTTTCTGGGCTTGCAGTTGTCTTGGTAGAGGTGCAGCCGCGCCCGTGGCAGCCAAAAGTGTCCGTCCAGGTAGGCAGAGGAACTGAACCCCTTCTCCCCCATCGGAGAAAGGCGGCACGGAAGGCCATATATGACGATGGGATTCTCGTAGAACCTGATTCCGCTTTTTAATTCCTGCCGCAAAGCATGCACTGCACACACTCGGGAACTAGGGTTGCCATTGTTCATAACTCTATTCATAACGAGCATCTGCCGATCCTTCGCAAATCATGGAGTCGTCGGCCCAAATTCACGTCGCCGATCTCCCGCGAGATGATCGTCTCATAGACGGCGCCTGCGGCACCCGCCGATCCACCACACGGGTTCCATCCGTCGCTGCTATCGACCACCAAATGCAACGGTTGGAGCAGGAGCTTTCTGCATTGACTAAAGAGTACGAGGCGCTTGACGAAGACGCCGCCGACAGATGTCTCGCGGGTCTGGAAGTGGCCGACAGTCTCCTCGTTGCTTCGGCCCATCGAGGTATCAAAGGCACGCTTTGGAAGCTGTTCCACCCTTACAAATACTCCAAGAAATGCGACATGCTGCGAAGGCATGTTGGGATAGCCCAAGACACGTATGGGAAAGTCGTCGAGCGGTACCAGGATGCCGTCCGGCCGCTGACAGAGCTCAGCGAGAGGGCCAAGAGGCTCGGGGATGACGCGAGGCAGCTATCCGGCTCCATTGATGAGGTCAACGCCTTTCAAGAACGCAAACAGAGGGCCCTAGACGAGAAGATCGAAATAGGACTGAAGATATGGTCCAACAGGACCCTGACGCTCGCAAAACATCGCGAGCGGGAGCAAGAGGCGAGGGCGACGAAGGAGCAGTTGGAGATCCATCAGGCTGCCGGAAAAGATTACCCCACATCTCTGTTTCCTGGCATAATCGCCGGCAGACATACCACGGCAATGGGCCTTTTGATCGAGCGCAGCGCCGCGGAGATCACGCACCTGGAGCGGGAGACTCACTGGGCTGCGCACAATGCGGAGAAGCAGCAGGCCAAAGTCGAGTCCCTCCGACTCCAACGCGACGGCACAACGTCCAAAGCCGAGAGATCGCTCGGTGCCAAGCTCGGAGTCCGTATGGGGGGTTTCCGGTCGAAGCTTTCGAAGCTCAGATCTGAGTTGCGGGACAAGGAGGAGCCTCTGCGGGCGGTGGGCTACAGGTGCCTCGGCATCGCGGCGAGGTTGAGCGCCCTTCAGGAATCCAGCTCAGGGGATTTGGTGCTTGGCGTCAAGGACCTGGCGAGAGGCATTAAGATCGAGCAACATGAGAAGAAGAAGGAAGAGAAGGAGAGGAGGAAGTCCTGGGAGACGTGCAAGTCGGCCCAGAGGCCACGCACGTCCTTCACCAGCTGTCTGGGGTTGCGGTAGAGAGCTTCAGCATGGCCGGGGGGTTGTGAAAGATAACAATAGTGTAACGTGCAAAAAAAAAAAAAAAAAAAAAAAACCCATCATGCTTTCATGTCAGTCCGTGGGGTATCATGATCTCTCGTCGTTCCTCGTGTCTCCCTCGCCGCTGCCCTCACCCTCCTTGTTCTGTTCGGGCTCCTTGGCCATAACGTTCTCGAACTGCGACCATAGCGCCTCGACGGAGGAGAATTCGTTTCCGACCTGGATGGAGTAAATGACGGTTAGCGCTCCGCTGCTTGTTGGTCTGATCTGATTACGCGGGGAGATAGTACTGTGATGACAGCCTCAAGCGACCGGTTCAGCTTGTTGATGTTGGCAAGGACTTGCTCGAAGCTCTGTTTTTGTGTTTTTGTTAGCGTCTGCACTTTTGTTTTGTTGACGCTGCGCGTAGCAGCACCGGGAAAGGGGGGATCCCTACCATGGCAATCTCGCCAATGAGCTCTTCGCGCTGCTGCTCGAAATAGGTCTTTTCCTTGGCCCCGGCCTGCGACTGGGAATGGGAGAAGGACCGCTGGTGTGACGACATGTTGTTGCGGGTGGGTGCGGTCGCGAAGGCTGGATGAGATGGCGTCGTGGAGTCTGCGCGTCTGGCGGTGATGGCGGGGTGGTGGGCAGGGCGTTGAAGGTCTGGTGGGGTTGAGGGGAAGTGCGAATACAGTGTTTATACTGTTATTCTTCGATATCATAAGTATCAGACACGGAGAGCACTAGACTTGGGCGGCACACCTCCAACTCTCGACAGCCTTTGCGTTCCTCCCTGAACTCACTTACGAATCACAACAGCTCTATTCAACGTGTTTTTTTATGAATTCTATGAATTGGGGACAGGAAATGTAAAAAAATGCATTGTCAATTTGGACGCAGTATTGCTTTCGCCAAGTCCAAGAGTGAAGAGCCGCGTCGGTTCACTCACATTGGCCCATGGGCATTACACTGCAACAGATTAAACCTTGGGAAAAGTCATGTGCGGAAAGAAGCTACCGCCACGGTTTCCCCATGAACGGGCAAAGTGCGTCTAGTCTGTCTTTCTAGCATCGATAGCTTAGAGGCAGTCCTCGAAGAGACCAACGGGCTACAAACGTTCGGCAAGCATGGAATGCAGCAAGGCCAGAATGCAGGATGATAAAGATCACCGCAGTGGGCACGCGCGTACCAAAGAAGACGGACCTGATGGATACTGCCTGATGGATACTGCCTCGTCTCTGTTGCACATACGAGGATGTTGGGTAAAAGAGATGGGGATCATATTTTTACGGACGACCAAAAGGATACCCGAAGGGGCCATGGGCGGTTCTCGATCAATCCATCAGGGAATCAAACAGGAGGGTTCCGTGGCACAAGTTCATCAATTAATTCTACTAACCTCTAAGCAGAGTTACAACAAACAAGGTTGTCAGCCCGTCGCCCTCTTCATGTCGATATATGTTTCATCGATTCTGACAAGACGGCAACGCAAACGGCACTGCATCGATCTTGATTCTCCAGGCGACACAGTCAAGAGTGCCTAGAAGAGAACGTCGACTCGGAATCTGTCCTTGCTTACGCTTAGCTAAAGATTGGTCCGTTATCTCCACCATGTCGAACAGCTGGGCGGATATCTCGGGCGATGGGGAGGCTCATGTGGCCGGACAGTGCGTGGCGGAATATCAATCATCGCTGGTGTGGGCTTCGTGACCGAGGCTACAGGTTCTTTGACATGCGAGACACTTTGTGATGTTGAAGTCGTAGTCGCATAAGAGACTAATTCCTGACTTGTATCGTGATGCCCTGTTGTGGATTTTGATCGTAAGAAACAGAAAGACAGGGCAAGAGACAGCCGAGCAGCATAACAACCTGATGGAGTTTAGCAAGCTTGCAACATACCATGGTATTGTTCTATTGCGTAACATTGCCTTGCTGCCGGTGCCTGCAAGTCTCTTGAGAATGATGCGGGATTGCTGGGCTAGATGATAGGCATAATAACATAGACGAATGGAGGGGTTTGACGGAAAATAAGCAGCCTCAAGCTTGGTGTATGTCCTTGCATTGGGGCGAGGCATTTGTACCCTTTTTCAAAGCTTCAGCTTGCCATAAAGAAGCAACATGACCACCTGATAGCAGGCTCCCACATGACCGCCTTGCAGCTCTCTAATCTTGCAATCCTCTTTCGGACTGGCAAACTGCTAGACATCCTGCACTCACGGCTTCTCCGTCATCTCAGTGGCTGCCGCCGTTCTTCTTTGCGTACTCCTTCTCGTACTGGCGGATATCCGCAGTGACAACTTGTATTCCCAGAAACTTGGTGGGTTTCTGTTCCGGCTGGGATGGGTTTCCGCCGATGGCTCGGATCCAGAGGATACCGTATCGGTGGCCGCCGGACATGTCGATAATGGGGTCCTTGTTCTTGCGCACGACGCCCAAGCGGACCTGCTTGCCCCTGTAATTGTCGAACCAGAGGCGCGTCGCGAGGGCGAGCTGGTGGACGGTGTGGTTGCCCGGCTGGGAGGGGGTCGCAAGACCGCGAAGCACAGGACCGTCGAGGAGATCCAGGAGGACGTGGGTAGCCGGGCGGGGCTCGCCCGGGAACTGGTTCGCGATGCTCTCCTGCAACGCACCGACGCCCAATTTGCCCTCGATCCCCGGTTTGTCGACAACGACGCCGCTGCCTACGCTGGACTGCGAGACGACGGCACTTAGGTTCGTAGCCGGAGCGGGCGGGTCAGGGAAGCCCTCCCACTCGCTCTCAAAGTCGTAGTCAATAGCGGCGTTGGCGCCTGCCGAGCACTCGACCTGCTCTTGCTTGACGATGGGCTGTTCTTGTTTGACGATCTCGGGGTGCTCTTGCTTGATCATCTCGGGCTTGGCGTCCATCTTGAGTTTCCTCCGAATACGCCTCTTTTCATTCTACGAGATGTCAGTGACAGGAGGGAGACGATGGTGAGGAGCAGGGCTTAGTCTTACCTTGGAAATCTTCCTTCCCTCCTGATGCGAGGATTCCTGCTTGGGGGGCGATCCTTGAAGGTCGGCAGCACGAGACATGATATTGAGGTTAGACTGGTAGTCGAAGAGGGTAGGACGGTGACTGGAGACCAGAGGAGGAGTTGAAGGGGGCCAAAGATGGGTAATATAGGGGAGACAACGTAGCCGCCGGTCGAAAGCTTTGCAAAGGGGGGTACCTGATCTTTGTGAAGTGAATATGAGAATGATGAGCCAATTGCTTGGACGAGCGTTGAGATTGAGAAAAGGATGAAGGGGATGTGAGGCCTATCAAAAGGGAAGGAACGTATCAAAGGTTCTTGCGAGTGGAAGGAACAGCTATTATATCATAGGATGCAGAAGGAACGGTTCAGCAAGACAATATTCTTATGGGTTCGGCCATGTTGCTTTGGCATTTCAGACCTTTAAGTCTTTCTGCGCAAAACTCTGGGGTTCAACGGGATAGATAGTCTGTAGCAAAGAAAAACAGAAACACGTAGCCCACTTCAGTATTGGTCACTTGGGGTAGCAATAGACAACTCCACGCGGCCCTTGCAGTAATCATGCTCTGAATTTCCGTTCCATATCGCTATGCCTTAAGTCTTTTTTCTTTCTCTCTCTCTATCCCCTTACCAAAAAGGCGGAATCACTGCCTTAGTCGCCTTGTCCTCGGTCATTCGTGGTATCATGAGCAAACAAAACATCGCTTTTTGGTGCCGCCCGCCCTTCCCGTCCCGTCGCCCAGTGTCTTTGCCCTCTTCCCCACCCCCCTTTCCCAAGTATATTATAATTTACTCTTCTTCTTCGTCCCGTGCCAGTGCCCACATGATAAAACCTGTCTTTCCATATGCAACGCTACTCCTCGTAGGAAGAATACTGCTTCTCAGAGAGAGAGAAAGAGAGAGAGAGAATTATCGCATCCAGGATTGTGCTCTCTCCTGGGCACCTGATCCGGCGGCTTCGAACGCTGTCAATCAAATGATGACGCAGCATGCCGGATGTCATTGTCCCGCGTAACCCCCCCTCACTTGGGTTGTTCCGTGTTCAAATGTTGACGTTTTTAGTTTTCAATGCCGCCAAGATTCCAACGCCTAAAGGCCATCGGGAATGGAGTGGTCTTCCAGCCATCCGAGTCCTCCAAAAAACACTGGCAGTCCCGGTCCGTGGGCAACGGTACCGGAACTGCAAAACAGGTGTTCGTAGTTGTTGATGACGGCGGGTTGATGAATATACGACGTGAAAAGTTGGCTGTCACTCTATGACAGGCTGGCACTGCTGCCGCTGTATGCTTCGAGCTCGCGCAGGCTCTGCATGAGTGCAGCCTCCTTGAGATCTTCGTTCTCTTGGCTGTAGACTGGCGCTGACGAGTCCGTCGAGTATTGTGGCGCAGGCTCTGCGGCTTGGGAGACCTGCGGCTGAACATGCTCCTGCTGAGGCTGTTGCGGTTGCTGTTGCTGATGTTGCGGCTGTGGCGTTCCCGGGTGAGAGTGGTGTTGTTGGATGTGAGAGTGCGACGGCGTTTGCGGCTGCACTTGCGCTTGCGCCTGCGAGAGGCCGTGGTGGGGAGTGTGGGAAAGCTGGGCAGCCGTTGCAGCGTATGGTGACGAGGCATGCGGAACTCGGGCGTGAGTGGGCGTGGCAGCGGCCGGTGTCGCAGGTGGTGCAGAAGCAGCAGCGTGTGTCGGTGTCGTGGCGTGGGCGGCCATGTGGTGCGACGACATCTGGGCAGCAGACTGTAAAGGTGTGCTGGGTGCGGTCGGCGGCGCGACACTCGGACGGTTCTGCTGCGGGTGCTGGAGACCGCCAGCGAGGGTCATGATTCCCTGCACACGAGCTTGCTCCTCCTCCGAGTTCATCCGAGCTCGCTCTTCGGCTTCCTTGCGAGCTGCTTGCGTGGGCGCACGCGTCTTGAGCTCGCCAGTGACGGCCTGCAGATAATAAGGCATTTCCGAGTTCGTCTTCAGGAAGAAGAGCTTGAGGTTCCGCGCCTTATCCTTCAGCTGCACCTGGGTCCGGTCCTTGAGTATATTGGAAAGCGTGCCCTCGGCGCCGAAAAGCGACAAGATCTGACTCCAGTGCGGCCCCTGAACCATGTCCAGCCCGGTCATGAGCGCCTTTTCCTCCTCCTGCGTCCAAGGACGTCTTGTTGAGGTGGTACCCTCCCGTCTCTGCTGGTTGTTGGTCTTGCTCAACGCCGCTTGGCGGGCTCTGTCGTACAGCACAGCGCTAGGCAAGCTCTGGCTAGGTGGGAGCTTTTCGTTGCTGTCGTGAGACGCAGGCTGCGGCGGTTGCTCGACCGGCGGCGGGTATCCGTAGTATGGGGATTGCTGCTGAGTCTGTTGTAGATGCGACAGATATGTCGTCTGCGTGGCTGGGGCGACCCCCGTCGGCGTCGGCACGGTCGGTTGATACGGTGCCGGGGAGAGATTGTTGAGGGTAGTACGGACGTATTCTTGTGTGCTTTGGGCAACAAGGGCAAGGATATCGCTTGTCGAGTCGTGAGTTTCGGTCGCGGTACCGTTTGGGGCTGGCGCGGCGGAGGGAGTGGATTCGGGAGCGGATGTAGTGGGCTCTGCGGGGGGTGCGCTGGTTTCGGTCGTCGGGACCGGCGGTTGTTCGGAAGGCAAGCCGTCAATGGGATCGCTAGGCAGGTACTGCGCAACCAGGCCGTCCGTAGCCTCCAACAGAGACGATATGCCCAGGTCGTCCAGATCAGGGGGCATCGAAGCCTCTAAGTCGCTGTCCGTCAGGATTTGTGGTAGCTCGATGCCATGCCTTGATGCGAGTCCTGACAAGGAATGCAGCTTCTGTCGAAGGTACGTATTCAGCAGGCGGAAAAGATCCTCCTCGGGGTAGCCAATCTTCAATAGCACTGCCCGCAACATGTCAGCTTTGCTCCCGAGACATTACTAGTATTCGATAACCAACCAGTATCAGGAAGGCCCGACGCATAAGCAATCAAGCCCGCTTTACGCTCCTCCACAGCCGTTACCATGGCTTTCTCCTCGGGGGTAAGCTCGGTCCCGTCGTGTCTGGCGCGTAGCTTATCTTCCAGATCGGCGGAGAAGGCCTCAGCGATCAACTGATCAACTGGTGCTGACTGATCCGCTGTTGTTACAGACTCAATGACTAGCTGTGTCTTGACTGCCACAAACAGCTCGGAGATGTCGTGCGAGACGCTCTCGTCGCCAGACAGGAAGACGGGGAAAAACTTGTCTTTAAGCGCCAGAAGCTGTTGCGAGGCCAAATCATGGTGTCCGTCGAAGGCGAAAAGCTCGCAACAGAAGCTTGCTAGATTGGCGACTTGGATATCGGTCAGGTTGTCTGGCGCAGTAAGATCGAGTACGGCGGGGTCCAAGATAAGGTCGGTCGTCGAGTAGATTGATCGCGTTTGGCGAAAAATGGTCTTGAGCGTGCTGTAGGACTTTGAGAGTTCGGTGTCCTTGTCTTGCAACTGGCGGTAGACATCATCGTAGACGTGTTGCGACATGATGACAAGGAGCTGCATGGCCTGGACAGGGGAAAACAATTAGCGGCGCCTCGGACATTGACGAGACCGCCACGTACAAAGTTTGACAAACATGAGGTGGTTGTGCGCCTCATCAAGGCCAGTGGTTCGGAGAGGATAACGGGGTGCGGCTCGACGGAATGGTTGGTGTCTTGCGACACAGAGGCCAAGGCATCGGCCGTCATGTCGACGTCCGGGACAGGATCCAGGGCGTCCACCTTGCCCATCTCGTTGTTGATGTCCATCATGACGCCCTGGATCATGGCGTCCATGTCGAAGTTGAGGTCGAGAGAGGGCGCCTCGTCGTCGACCTTCAGCCTCTTGGGCTCGGCATCGGGGTCTTCTGCGCTCGCATCGCGGGGTCGCTTCAGTGGGAATGGAGGGGTTTCGCCCAGATCGGTCGCAACGGTGGGCGACTCCTGCTTCATCTCTGGTCCTACTACGGCGAGTCAGCATCTTTTGTGACGCTTTTTGGACGGATCCTCTCCGTGTGGCATCTCGAGGTCGAGGCTGGGCGTGTGAGGATGTCTTTTCCTTTTTTTTTTTTTTTTTTTTTTTTGCGCCAAGTGGGATGGCGGGAAGTCAAAGGCCGTCCGTACCTGTTGGGGAATGCGCCTCGGCCTTTGCGGCCTGGGCCGACTCTGCAATAGCTTCAACGCCCTCCATGAGCATTGAGGAGCACGTCGACAGCGGTTTTGGGGTCAGACTGGTCGGCGTGCAGCTCAATGGCGGCGGGGGGTACCGTGATCTTTGCGGTTTCTTCGACTGAGGCGGAAAAACTTTTTGGGAAGAAAATCCGAGCGCCGATGCCCTTATAATCTGCCCCAAAGAAGATGTCACCACAGATACACAGGAAGGAGCGACCGCTGCAAAAAAATTCACCGCTGCTTCCCAGTGAAGAACGGTCTGTGATTGGTCTGTTGGCTCACAATGCAACATGATCTGTGCGCGAGTCCCCGCTCCTGCCACTTTATCGCAACAATTTTTTATTTTTTCCCCCTTTCTCTCTATCTGTCCCCTGCCCAGGACGGCGGTGCATATTTGCCATCCTAACCATCCCAACCCCTCAAATTTTCCGTGAGCATAGTTTCTTCCATCCTGGAAGGGTTTTTTTTTTTCCTTTTTTTTTTTTTTTTTTCCTTCGCGATAGGACGGTTCCTGCCTGAGGACAGCCAACCGCATTAATCTGATACTTAGCCTTATCACTCAATCTGACATACCGTCTTCTGATGTCTCTGATGGGTCTGTACTGGTACCTATTTTCTTGCCTAGGTATTGTGACCCGTCAATGGCTCCATTGCAAAGGCGTTCGCATATCACTGTTGCCCTGCGTGACGTCATTCCCCAGATTTACCATGTCGACAACTCTGGGGACTAGGCAGATCCGCCGTCTGGGGGGGTTGGCGGCCGGGGAACATGTCACTGGTCAGTTCTGCCAGTCGCGACCGCCGGAGGCCACATCGACGAGCGGCCCAATTGCTTGAATGCTGGGTGCCAAGGTGGAAACTGGAAGACAACACCGACAACAGTGTGACTCGCACGTAGGTGCAAAAAGATCCAGTCTGACTTGTAGCAGATGTGTGTAAGCCAGCGATGGCAAGCCAGCATATGCTGCACCGAACCACGCAACGGTTGGTTGTTGCTATCATGCTTGCTCTTCGCCGCAGCCGAGTCGATACACCAAACGTGATCCATGTTACTGTTCTATCCCTCTTCTGCTTGGGTACCTGTGGGGAATCTGGCCGAGTACTGATAAAACCAGCTCCAAATTGTTAACTATCGCCTTGTCCAAAGAACATGATGTTTCCATGGCGGAAAGTTCTTCTCAACGACCGGAAAGCAGTTTTCACTGACATTCGAGGAGTTGTTCTACTACGCTCGTATACCAGCAGTAGACATACACCTTGAAGCTATGAATCGTCCGTTCTCTCTTTCGCGTTTCCCATTCCAACATTAACGAAAGGGTTAGTACGTTCTCTCAATGAGTATTGATACCCTTTTTTTGGAGTAGGATCAGCGATTACAAATCCAGGCATACACTTCTCACACACTTCATCTTTTGCAGTAGACCCCCCAGGCAGAGTAAAACTTTGGTGTTCCTGATCTCACCTGACGATACTTTCCACAAGTGGTCTTAAAGGCCTATATTGCCGCAAGACCTATGTTCTAGACCAATAGGTCAAAAGTGACTAGTGGCCATCTTTACTGGTCGCGACGAGGCCCTTGCAGTCAGCCAGCCTATGCTGAAGCTTTGTCCATGCCAGTTGGCTTTCAGGAAGTTGAATACGTCGAATATGTCCCCGAGTCGGGTGGGCATATAAGTTAAGAACCGCACATCACGGTACATCTGATTCTCTATCAAAGTAAGGGGTGGCCGAGAAGTGGGTGCGGCACTTACTGAGTATGGCCGGTTCGGCGAGCTTGTTCATCGGGCAGGGGCGTGCGAAGTGGCCAAATTGTCTTCATCCGATGTCCCGAGGATGAGCATTCGTGTGGTAATTATCCGTGCTTTTGTCGCTCCACGGTGCCTGGCTCTCAACTATATCTACCCTTGGCAGCTCTTGGGACAGGCCAGTCGGGAGCACAGCAACTGGCACCCACAAGCCCGGGCGAGCGGTATCTTCGGACGGTCTCGACGGTTGGCTCTCGGAAGGTTTCCAAGTGAAGAGCGGGAGAAGCCGTTCGTCGCAAGGGAGCCGCAAATGCGGGGGATCCGGGGGACTCGCCGGGAATGGCGTCCAATCCTGGGGGCAACGGTAGGCGGGCAGACATCTAGGACACACAGCTACATGCAAGCAGTAGTACACTAAACGAGTGACTGATTCACACAACCCCCCCCTCCCCTCCCCCGGATCTAGACCCTTAGTGGTCATGGGCGTGGTACCATCGGGCCAAGTCACCTGGGCCGCCCCAAGGCCGAGGAAGGCCGACAGGCAACGAAGCGAGTGTGGATCCTTATCGCCAACGAACGGTCAGTATTAGTGTCTCGGCTTTTGTGCGTTCTGGGAACAGTCGAACGCAAATCCAGTCGGGGTTTGCTCATCCCCAGCATCTCATTCGGAACCGATCTGGATGTTTAGTACCGGTATTGGAGCTGCCCGGTTCAGAATCGGTCGGGCCGTACGAGTACGATGTACTATGCAGTACGCCGTGACCGATGATGGGGTGTGGAGAAACCTGGGGAAGGCAGTTGGCATAGCCGGAGAGTACGACGCGTGGACAATGAAGGCGCTCCTGGTCTCGGCCCGAATGACTGGCCCGGCATCTGCACTGACGATCAGAGTTTCACGACTGGCGGCTCTGGCAGCGTCCACGTCGCTGGGCCGGCGCCCGCTCCTGCTGGGCTGGAGGACGTCGGGCAAGCGAAGCAGAGAATTGCAGACAACAAGAGCTCCGTATCGCCGTGAAACTGCCATCAGACCGAAGCTTTTACCCCACACACACACACACACACACACACAACCCCCAAATAGAGTAGTGATGTGGTAGGCACCTAGTGTAGCTTCGGCCAAGAGGATTCGTTGCTGTCGAATGATGTCGGGGACAGGGAAGAGGAGACAGGGGAGTGGGGGGTGATTTTGGATCGGGGACGGCACGGAGTCTGTTTACAGATAGGTACATAGGATGGAGGGATGGATGGATGGGGGTTTGCAAAGGCAGCTGGCGGCGTTTGCAGGATGATATATCGACGTCCCCCGAAATCTAAAATGACACCCCCACCATGTTCTGTGCTTTTGGTGCGGGGGAGAGAGCGCTCGCGGGGCTTTGTACCGAGATTCACGCACAGCAAGGCAGCAGCAGCAAAGACAGCCCGAGAGGAGAGAAAACAAGGATGATTCAAGGAGCCTGATGCCGAGCTCGGGGCATAAAGCACGGAGTGGACTCTCCCGGACGATGGCCCAACCGCATATACCATGTACATCGCTTCGCCTTTTCTTACTCAAGGCCGCAAAGCGATAGCCTAGGGGCATCTACCTAGGAGACAAGTTACCCCCCCCTCCTCCCAATTCAAAATAAAACTTGGAGATGGTACAGGTACAATTCATGTGGGGCGGGTATTTTACACTACGGTATTTGTATCCCAGTCAGCCTTCAAGGTGTGCATCGTACGGAGCGCGCGCACACTACTGAATATGTAGATACACTAGTATGCAGTGCAGCAAAAGGGTGGATAAGACAAGCCAGGTGTGCGGTTGGGGGTGGGTGGATTGGCGTCCCCGATGGTGGGCTACGTAGTGTACACTACGGATAGACCTCAGCGAGTTTACCGACTGCAGCTGTCAAACATGCGATGCGCTTCAGCGGACCCTTGATACAGTCAGTTTGGATGAGGAAAAAAAAAAACGTTGGATCGAGCCGTCGTAGTGTAGGTAGGCGGCTGGTCTCATGCCGAAGAGTCTGGGGTAACGCAGTTCTAATTGTGGCTCGGGATAATGCCTCGCGGCAGAGGCTGGTTGTGCACTACGATGTACGATGTACGATGTACACCTTGTAAACGCTGTCATCTTGGTTGTATCAGCCATGTGGCTCCTGCTCCCAGACGTAGCGGCATTGTGGCCGCCGTCTGATTGGCGGGGTGCCTTCGGGAGAGGACGCAGCTCTCGATGGAGAAAGTGCGGGGTCAAGAACCATGCGGGAGAGGGGAAGGTGGGAGGAAGGGAGGGGTTCCAGGTTTTGGAATGATGTGCTGCTGCTTGTTTGCTTGCTGTGATGTGCTGAGTAAGGAAGGTTTTTTTTATTTTTTTTATTTTTTTTTAGCGAGCCTTACATTAAAAAAAACTAAAAAAAAAAAAAAAACTGCCTATCGTATAGTACACGTGACAGCGCGACAACTCAGCGCTCATTCAATCTCACTCACTATCTATCGTTTCCTACTTACCGAGGTACCTAAGAGTCTTCACGACACAAATCATCTCACCCTCGCAGTTTCCGCACCTGATCTGGGGCCCGGGGAATGGCCGAACGGGCAAGTGGAACTCGATTCCGCTTTGGTCCAAAGGAGGGGTGGCGCGTTCAGGTGAGCTTGAGCCGAGTCCAACAGGCATTACCCAGTAAGATGGAAAGGGTTGGCCATTGACCGAGAACACATACAGATGGATGCACTATGCATGTTCAGATCACAATCAGAGGGATCGGGATTCCGTTACCTCATTCATCCTTTGATACGCAACCGACGAAACGGCCGAGGGGAATACGCGTTGGCCCGAGGCGGCGTCCACCATTCCCCCCCGTCGGTGCACCAGAGACATGCATACTGCTTGCTAGGTAGTGTACGGATACGGATACCTAGCAAACAGTACCGTATCCTCTGAGCAAATTGGCCAACCGCTAATTCTCGGGCTAACGGTAAAGGGGAAAGTGGCCGCTCATAGCGCTAAACCTATCATAGAAAGCGGTCAACCTACCCACCTATCCACCCACCTGCCCACTTGCCCATTATTTACTGTTCTTACGCCTTAACTTCCTGCTGACGTAAATGACTAACCCCTGCTTTTGCCTTTCTAGATCCCTGTTTCTGCCAGCACGATAGCCCTTATCTGGTGGCCGCGATACTCTTTGCCGTTAGCCTGAGAATTAGCGGTTGGCCAATTTGCCCAGAGGATACGGTATTGCCCCTCTTGCCACCACCCCCACCCACCATCCACCAACCCTGGCTCCCCTTCGGCCCCACGTCTGGGTGGAGTGAATGTGTCTGTGCATACTAATCAGTTGCTAGCACCGCAGGGCCTCGACACTACACTAACAAACCCCCCCTCGCATCACCTGTTTGGCTGCTACGATGTGGGGGAGCTCGACGATTGTCACCAAGTGACCGTGTTTGACGTTGCTCTGACCCACGGCCGATGATAGCTGTGCTGTGCTGTGCTGTGTTACACAGGACAAAAGCGTATCCGTCCGTACTCGGTGCAGAGCCCCCCCTCGTCTGGTCCCCTCCCTCTCTCTCCCTCCGTCCGTACCGGTAGTAGGTACATACCTTAGGTAATTAGTGCAACTGTACCGCTACACCCTCCCCCGCTGAGATGATGCTTGCACCAAGTCCACCTTATTCTCTGACACTTCTGTCTTTGGTCTTCGCGACTCTCTTTCTCGGGCTTCTTCCCACCCCCCAGCTCTGTGCCCCAGACCCCGCTTTATAACAGTCTGCTCCTCCCCAAGCTCTCTGTCCATACCTGCTTCTCTCCCTCTCCCTCTTTACACTCAACTCAACAAACCCTCCTCTTCTGTTTCTTCGTGATACCTTGATACCATTACCCTTTTTCGTCTACCACGCACACATACACAATGGGTTTGTCTGTTGAGCTCAAGACCCCGTTGACGGGCTCCTACACCCAACCCACCGGACTGTGCGTAACCCCTTTTGTCCCCCCTCTCGATTATCTCGCGACTGACATGACTTCTTCCCCTCCCCGCAGGTTCATCAACAATGAGTGGGTCGAGGGTGTTGACAAGCAGACCTTCGAGGTCATTAACCCCTCCACCGAGGAGGTCATCACCTCCGTGCACGAGGCCACTGAGAAGGATGTAGACATCGCCGTCGCCGCCGCCCGCAAGGCTTTCGAGGGCGAGTGGAGGCAGATCCCCCCCAGCCAGCGCGGCGTCCTGTTGAACAAGCTCGCCGACCTCGCCGAGAAGAACACCGACCTCCTCGCCGCCGTTGAGTCCCTCGACAACGGAAAGTCCATCTCCATGGCCAAGGGCGACGTTTCCGCCGTCGTCGGCTGCATCCGCTACTACGCCGGCTGGGCCGACAAGATCGAGGGCAAGACCATTGACGTCGCCCCCGACATGTTCCACTACACCCGCCCCGAGCCCGTGAGTCGACCTCCACCCCCCCTTCTCTTCTCTTTCTGTCTCTCTCTCTCTCTCTCCCCGCACCTCTGATCATGACTGACCGCTAAACCCACCAGATCGGTGTCTGCGCCCAAATCATCCCCTGGAACTTCCCCCTCCTCATGCTCGCCTGGAAGATCGGCCCCGCCTTGGCCACCGGCAACACCATCGTCATGAAGACGGCCGAGCAGACCCCTCTGTCCGCCCTCGTCTTTGCCACCCTCGTCAAGGAGGCCGGCTTCCCCCCCGGCGTCTTCAACCTCCTCAACGGCTTCGGCAAGGTCGCCGGCGCCGCCCTCTCCGCCCACATGGACGTCGACAAGATCGCCTTCACCGGCTCCACCCTCGTTGGCCGCCAGATCATGAAGGCCGCCGCCAGCTCCAACCTCAAGAAGGTCACCCTCGAGCTCGGCGGCAAGTCCCCCAACATCGTCTTCGACGACGCCGACATCGAGCAGGCCATCTCCTGGGTCAACTTCGGCATCTACTACAACCACGGCCAGTGCTGCTGCGCCGGCACCCGCATCTTCGTCCAGGAGGGCATCTACGACAAGTTCCTCGCCGCCTTCAAGAAGCGTGCTGAGCAGAACAAGGTTGGCGACCCCTTCCACCCCGAGACCTTCCAGGGCCCCCAGGTCAGCCAGTTGCAGTTCGACCGCATCATGGGCTACATCAAGGCCGGCAAGGAGGAGGGTGCCACCGTCGAGACCGGCGGTGCCCGCCACGGCGACAAGGGCTACTTTATCCAGCCCACCATCTTCAGCAATGTCCGCCCCGACATGAAGATCATGCAGGAGGAGATCTTCGGCCCCGTCTGCGCCATTGCCAAGTTCAAGGACGAGGCCGAGGTCATCAAGCTCGGCAACGACACCACCTACGGCCTCGCCTCCGCCGTCCACACCACCAACCTCAACACCGCCATCCGCGTGAGCAACGCCCTCAAGGCCGGCACCGTCTGGGTCAACTGTAAGTCTCTCTCCAATGTCCGCTGGTCTTACCCTCCTTTCACAATACTAAC